TGTTAACTGGTTACTTGACTGCTATGTATATTTAGTTTGGGATTGCTTTATTTGTTTTAAATGTTTTATGGGTTTAGAATGCTAAACTTGCCCAGAGTCACTTGGATGGCCATATATATTAAATAAATAAATATGTATACTATTAGGCCAGGATGGAATATGGAGAGAGATTTTCCTGCACTAAGTATCTTTTTCAGAAATATGAAACTATTGACATAATATTTACTTTGCCAATAGAGACACTGATTCAAGCTTGTTCTGCTCCTCTGTCTGGATAGCATCATCACTCTAGACAAGGTTGAGTGCTGCACTTTTTTTTAAATAGCTGAAAGATATACCATTAAAAACATTGCTTGGTCTTTGAGAGTTGGAGACATGACACTGTTCGAGCGATACTAGAGAGGTTGGCCTTTTTCTGCACTTATTTTTGTATGTAAGGAGTTGAAAGGAATTTTTAAGAATGAAGTAGATGAGCTTAATGGAGGATTAATGTATTTGTTTCCTGTTTAAAGTAGAAAATTGCACCAATGATTTTCTAAGATTTGCTATCTAATTTCAATAATGTTATCTTGGAAAGGCTCTGAGTTAATCCAGAGGGATGTATGTTGTTCTAAGATTACTCATTCTTAGACTATTTTTTAAATATATACTACTAAAACTCTCCTCTCTGTTTGTAAGTTCAATTAAGTGAAATGTTTCATCATTGGACAACAGTTTTTGAACAGGTACCTGAAATAGGCCGATTTCCAAAATTTGGGATCCATTACCCCTGTGTAATTGAAATTGCTAGAAAACGAATCCTATTCCAAATTAATTAGAGACACTGTGGCAATCCATTTGACCTGTATTTAGAAACAATCAAGTATATGTAGGATTGTTTCATGTTTTAATGTTTGTGAATCATGTTTATATGTATTTCATATTTTTCAAACTATCATTTTTAATAACTAGTTTTTTAAAAGGCCCAAGGCTCAGTAAACATCTACATCTGAGGATGATCTTGGGATAGAATTTCAGAGTCCCGGTTCAACATTTTAATTAGTACATCACACTGGGGGCAGAGAGAAAGATTTCAGAACTCCATTTTTGTTTATAAAACTCAGTTCTGGGATATGAGGCCCTCTTCCCAAAAGGAATCTTCCTAGTTAGCTAGTAGGAAAGACAGTCTGTATAATCACAAGGGCATTGTTGTAATTTATATGTTTCAAAATTGAGCTCTACCTAGCATTGAAAAAAAAAGTTATCATTTTGAATTCTACTACAGATTAAATCCTGCATCCACCGCTGGGGATTTTGTGCACTATGAAAGTCATGTGATTTTTACTTGATGAGATATGTCAGCCTTACAGCACACTATTTCTCTGTGTTAAGTTGTGTTCCCATCCTGTCTTCTACCTCAGGTGATTTAAACAACTGCATTGGAAGAATAGCCTTTCAATCTTGTCAAATGGTGCCTTCCCCCCTTAATATATACTCAGGTCCATTCACTTAATTAAAAGAAATCAATATAAAAAGGGGGCATTTTAAGGATTTGAAAACCACTAATCACATCAAGCACTTTCAAAATTAATGTACCCCCCCTCCCGCCCAACAATATATGGTTTAAGTACATGAAAACTAACGGCAGGAAAACTAAGGTGGTGTATGTGTAAAGAGAGGATTTTTTAAAAATAAGTACCATGGAATTGGAGCATAAGAGTTGGCTCATAAGGAAGGCTGAGTGCTGAAGATTTGATGCTTTCAAATTGTCGTGCTGGAGAAGACTCTCTTGGGAAGTCCTTTGGACTAAAAGATCAAATCAGTCAACCCTAAAGAAATCAACCCTGACTGTTCTTTGGAAGGACAGATACTAAAGCTGAAGCTCAATGAGAGGACTCATTAGAAAAGACTGATGTTGGGAAAGATTGATGGCAAAAGGCAGAGGATGAGATGGTTAGTTAGAACAATTAATCATTGGAAGTTTTTAAGAAGAGATTGGACAGCCATTTGTCTATAGCAGTGGTTCTCAACCTGTGGGTCGGGACCCCATTTGGGGTCCAACGACCATTTCACGGGGGTCACCAAACAACGCAGTCTGCCATTTTTTCCCCTTTTCCTTAGCTATGCTACTCCCTTTTATTCTATTGGCTTTTGAAAGCCAATAGAATAAACTCTCTTGAATAGAGTCTAATTCTATTGGCTTTCAAAAGCCAATAGGAATTGTCCAGGCTGTCTCTGCCCTGCTGAGCCCGCCAAAAGTCCCATTCTGCAAACAGTGCTGCACCAATTGAGTAGTCCTCGACTTACAACTGGTTGAGTAGTCCTCGACTTACGACTGGTTGGGGGTCACGGCATTAAAAAGGTTGACAACCACTGGTCTATAGGATTTCCTACCTGAGCAGGGAGTTGGACTAGAAGACCTCCAAGGTCCCTTCCAGTTCTATTCTATTCTATTCTATTCTATTCTATTCTATTCTATTCTATTCTATTCTATTCTATTCTATTCTATTCTATTCTATTCTATTCCATTCCATTCCATTCCATATAGTGATCAACACAATGAACATGAATTTGGGCAAACTCCAGGAGACAGTGGAGGATGGGAGGGGCTGTGTTATGATCCATGGGGTCGTGAAGAGTTGGACATGACTTGGCGACTGAACAACAACAATAAACCATGGAACATAGCTTTTGAAGATTTGTCTTCTGCACAAGGTGTCTGGTCATAGTGAAAATAGCAACAACTTGGCCGTTTTTAAAATTTTTATTTTATTTAAAATGTCTTTACCTGAATGCCTAATACTATACAGTTTTTTAAATAAACACTAAATTAATAGACTTTAAAAAACTAAAAGCTTATCGAAAGTGTTATCTGGATGTATTTACATAAACAGTGCAGTCTTGTAGAGAAAGGCCAAAAAAAAAAAAAAAAAAAAAGCAAACAAATGCTTTCGGACAAAACCTCTCTTCTGGAATTGTACAAGGGTGCAGGTCACATTTCCCATTTGAATAATTCTGTGTTCCCCACAATTCTCTCCCGCCTCCCCTTTCTGATTACGGACATACACTATGCAAAAAGAAACCTAGGGAGAGAAAGATGGCATGGCTGCACAACATTGTTTGATTGGCAGTATTAGGACTTTCTCCCCCCCCCCCTTTTGGAAACACCCTTGGCCTATCTTTACCAAAACTATCACATCTAGAAGACAGGAAAGTAAAACCTTGATTTTACAGAAGTGGGAGGAAAAAGTGTCAGTAATGCAGGGTTTACATAAAGTAAATGTAAATTTTGTGTAATGTATATACAATTATGTTATGTAAAATAAGCAAATTCCAATTTTTGTCCATTATATCAAAGTCTGTGCAATGAAGAGGTCTGTAAAATTGAGGTTTTATTGTGCACTTGCTGTAAATGGTTTTATTGTGCACTTGCTGTAAATGGCCCACATTTTCCATCCTCCTATTCCAAACATAACTCAAGGCCACTTTTCTGCTTTGCTTCCCAATTTAGAATTCGCAAATTCTACGCCTGTACTTCTGCGCCTGTACGGCAACTTGATTTGGAGAAAATGGAAGCTGAAGCCTTCACTGCCACGTGGGTAATTTTCTAAATATCTGCAGCTGAATTGCTGTTATTGCTGCAGGGTTCAATCAGTTTTAAAAATGGACGGATTTATTTATCATGTATATAGTATACCTATTATTAAAAAGCAGGTCAATAGTATATTTCTGTCAAAGTTGCTGGTCCATCACTCTTCCCCTCCCCAAATACTCTGCTGAGCTTGTCTGAATGTCAGAGGAACTTCCTTGAATTCAATTTGCTTGCTTTAAAGGGATTTTCTTATATGCGAGAAATATTGGATGAGAACTCTAGCACTGGAAAGTGTTGATGCATTGAAGATTGTCTCAGCAGTACCTACTTTAAACTGCTAATACAGGAAATGTAAAAAATCAATGACATAAAAATAACAACTTGCTTCATTCACTTCTAATAATTACGCCAACCATAGCATTTTCTCTTTAGAAAGCCTTTAAGCTGTTAAAGACATCAAATGTGGTTTCAGTCAGCAGTCCTCAATTCATTTGCACGTAAATCTCATAATAGCTACTTGACTACTTCTGTATCATTACCAGCTATATTACATTGATATGTGGGTATTCTCTCTTATAAATAAGGATATTCTGAGATTCTGGCCACTTCTTCAGTTAGCAAAAGGTGGTAATCTATGTGTACAAAAATAAACAACAAAATACTTTAACAAACTCTGCCTTTATCTATCTCCTATGATGAGGCAGAACCTCAAAAGTCTGTTATATAAGATCAGGATTAAAGTTTATCCTATTAAATGCAAGACATACAGATGTTATATTCCTTTTTGAATGTTCTATTGATTTTGGATACATGTGTATTTGTAATCAATAGGCAACGTCTAGTCTCAAATAGACTAGAAAGACTAGGCAAATAAACTACACTAGAAAGCAAATGGTCATTCCTAAGTATGTTGATTTAGAAAAAAAAGTTTCACTGATTGAACATAATTAACAATGCTTCACGTCCTAATTCCAAAAACTCTGTGCTATTAAAAATAAGATTTTGCCCAGTGCATTTTTGATTAAGTTAGACAAGAATGAAACCTGGCTATTAAAAATACATGATTCTGAAAATGCTAATGGGAATATAATTCATTTGTTCATAAGTGCTACCAACTCAGATCCTGTTCATGGGTTCTTAGAAGATATTCAGTGGGATACATTGGCAGGTATGTATGGAATGGCCCCATAGTCAGAAGATGTTAAAAGGAGGAAGTCACATTGAGCATCAAAAGACATGCAAAGGATTGTCCTGGTATCTTATTTTAACTCAGAATTGAATCCAGAATTGTATTCAGTAGGAATTGGGCCTGCAGAAGCATTTATAGGATTTCAACCAGCCTTAATACTGTTATGTTTTCATACTGGATTATCTAGTCACATTTCTATTATTCCAACATCAGATAATATACTATTTTACATTTTCCCTCTTTTGTTGTTGTTCCATGCTGGCACTCAGAGTTCATGGAATTTTGCTTTGAGTTGCATTTTCTGTTGCCTGAGGAGAAAATCTAAAGGTCTTAGTCATATATCAAAAAATATGAACCAATGCCCAGACAGGGCCTATTATTGGAAAAATCCATGCTCGTAAATTGCACGAATAAGAAACTTCAGGTGATTAATGCATAATGTGTCAGCCTCCAGAGAAGACCATAATTCATTTTTTTAAATTCAGTTTGGCGTCTTAATTTTGATGCCAGTATGCTAAATAGTTTATATAATATTTATGCACAAGCTGTGGGTGGCTTACTGTCATTTTATTGACAAGGCGAAACATTTCATCAATAAAATGCAAACTTCTGGCTCAAATAGCTGGTACTTAGTGTCAGTAATTCCAGGAGGTGGTGAAAGAGCCTTCTAGTTAAGCCATCAGATGTCCCAGAATTAGTGTCAATAATCCTGGCTAAATTAACCTGAGCCATCAAAGGAAATCTGCTGTATCAGGAGGAAATGGGCAAACATCGTCTTCATAGCATACACACAGTATCCTAAACTGTTTGACTCATTTGGCGAAAGAGGGTTTAAGGAACCCCCTTTTCTATGGCCAACACGTGGCATTATAGAGAACACTGTTTTCTACATACCTCTGATTTCAACCAATTTAACACTGCTTTTAAGTGGGCTGACAAATGGTTAGCCTCTAGCTTTACATTTCAGAAGCTGCATATCATACAAAGAACCTTATCAAACACAGGCTATCTAACCCAGCATTTTTTTGTGGCACAACTGATCAACTACATGCATTTGGCACGCAAGTTTGATGAGCCATTATTCTCTTTCATTGTTACTTTTCAGCAGCCGGTATTAAGGGAGAATGCTGTGAGTCAGGAGTAAAGAACCATCAATATCAGCAGGCATTGATAACCTGTTCTTTGATGAACCTGTTCAGTCTCCCTTGAAGCTTCTCCAAATGCTTACAACAAATTTCAGTTTAACAAGATGCTATGGCACCTCTCTCTTTCTTTCTCTCTCATCTCCTCCCTGTGTTTGGTCCATGGTTCTGCATGAATGAGCAAAAGAGACATGAAGACAACACATGTTACATGACATAACAAAGCAAACTCTATCCCTTATGCTCTTGCATATAATATTGTATTGCTGGTATGAAAGGGTAGAGTTTACATTGTGACATCATTGTACATATACCTTTTAATGCCACTGTGATTAAGAACAGAAAGTTAAAGATAGGCTAATTTTCTGCTGAATTTAGTTTCAATGAATGATCTTGAGACTTAACTATAGGAGAGAGGGAAAAATTCTCCCTACACTTTATGTATGCCATGCATTATTTTATATACCCATAACATCTATCCTCTTACCCTCCTCAATTTCAAGCTAAACAGCTTGAAATTTGTGTAGTCTTTTCTTATAAGGGAGTTACCTCAGTCTCCTAATAATTTTAGTTGCCCTTTTTGTAACTTTCCTAGCTCTGCAATAGCCTGCTTTAAAGAACTCTACACATACCAGTTTGGCATCTACCTCCTAACTCTGTTGTGATCAGGATTATACACAATACCTACATTTGTTCTCCCACAAATTTATTTAAGGGAATTATTATATTGGTAGTTCTATGTTCTGTTCTCTTCCTAAATAATGTTAAGTACAAAAGAATTTGGCACTTTTTTTGGTGCAGCTGTGCAGCTGACATTTTCATTGAACTGTCCACTTGAAGACTGGGCACATTCATCACCGTGAATTATCACCGTGAAGTGATTGCTTTAATTATGTTTTGTGGGATCAGCTACAGTGGTCCAATTCACAAATAATTTTAGATTATAAATCTTGGATTATAAACCATGATGTCTAGATTCACTCATTACCCTAAATCAAAATTATACCACATTTTACCTTAGCATGCTATGCACACTCATTTTAGGTATAACTAATATGGCTAAATAACTGTTTTTTTTAATTCCCTCAAAATGTCTACTTATAAATTAAATTTCATTCTGTTTGATTGTTCCTTATTGCTCCTTCATTATCAACTCCAAATCTACATCTTTTACTTCAAATCAGTGTACGCACACTTAATATTAGTAACTGGTTCCACAAAATAAATCAATCCATTTGTACCATAAAATAAATTATTTGAAAATTGTCAGGTGATTATACTTAATTTTTTTTTTGTTAAATGTCACTAAAGTTGCTATTTGGTTATTTGCAATTCTACAGCATTCTGTAGAGTTGATCTCCTTAAAATAGCATATGTCAAGAGGTGTATAAATTCTGAAATATTTAGCTGATTACTTTGGGATCTTATACACTCTTTGATTTGATTTTCTTACTTGCATCATAAGATCAGAAACACATTGGTCTTATTTTGTTCTATTTTTTTTTTTAAATGAAAACAAATGAAGAATGATTTCATTACATATAGTATATGATAGTGTTCCCCAACTTAACTCTCCACTGGGTTATCTATAACTCCCATCCTGTCTTGGTAAGTATAGTTTATCATAAAATGATGACATTAGCAGCACCACACATCTGGAAGACATCAAGTTGGGAAATATAATAGGGCATATACCTGCATTTCTCAGTCCTCTTTGCCAAAACAGACCTAGCAGTTTTTTAAAATAGTGAACCATAATGTCCAAAAACAAAGGGAATTTCTACATAGCTACTTTTACCTCTAATCTCAGAATCTTTTCCATACTGCCCTATACATACTATATTCCCATTGCTATGCCATTCTTTGTTTACCAGCCGCCCATGTTCCTTGTAGCTTACTAATAAGGCAACAGAAGGGTAAACACATAGCTAGTGTCCCATAGCTGCTTATAGTTGTTTTTGTTTTTCCTTTTTTGCAACAACAAGAACAAAGAAAATACACTCCAGTCACTGTTTAGTATAATGGGCAATTTGCTTCTCAATTCAATGCATCCTCAAGAGGGAAATGGCATAGTTCCATACAAACTTAGTTTCAGCAGGAGAGGACAGGCTGGAAGATTTGAGAGATAACTACCAATTTGAAACCTCCTATCTCAAATTTCTTGGAGTTCTGAAGAATTGTTCTCTGGGATTTGAGTCTCAGCTGAGCTGAAAATGATTGACTCAGCTGTTGAAGCTGGGTTAAGTTGTGAGAACACAAAGGCAAGTGCTATGCATTGGAGGGTCCCAAAGATGCCAATCTGCTTCAAAATGGAACAATCAGCTATTTAAAAACAAACAAACATAGATTCAGCAGATATGCTCTGGAAATGCTTACAAAACCTACTTTGGGGGTCATATTTTTTATTCACATCTTTAAGATGTTATTAAAGAAAAGCAAAAATTACTGGATGAGGAAAAAAACAAATTCAGTATTTTTCTTAAAAAACTTTAACAAACCCCCCAATATATCGTTTTTTAAACTATGTACCTAAAATTGGACAGATTTAAAAGAGAGATTCTGGCAATCAAATAACAAGTAATTGGGTTCATGGCTTAAAGCAGTGGTTCTCAACCTTTCCTTCACCACGGACACCCTTTAAATACCTTTTGTGGCCATGGACCGTGGCCATGCACCACCAAGATTTAACTCAAGATTTAAATCATAATATTTCTTCAAGCTTTCACAGACCCCTTTTGATGACATTGCACGCTCCACCCCCAGGAGTCTGTGGATCACAGTTGAGAACTACTGGCTTAAAGTTTTAGTAAAAATTAGGGTACAAAACAATACTGTTTGAAAGTCTCTAATGAATCAGTGGAGCTCAGTTATGAATAGATATGCCTAGGATTACATTATTGAGTTTTTCTGATAGCAGTGTAGTGTTTTTAACACAGCATAATAGGTGGGTCTGATTCAGTGTCCCTCTGACCTTCTGTGTAAACTCTTAGAAAATTTTTTAGACAACTTTTTCAGCTGACTGGGTCTCAGTGAACTATTAACTGTAATACTGAAAAGCTGTTTTGTGACTATATCAGGTATTTTCTAGAGATGCAAAAAGAACTGATTAACAATTAATGGGCACCTTTGTCTATGGAATTTAGATTAAATGAATTCAGGAACACCTAAATGGAATTGTGTACATGTGCGTGCACAAACACAGACACACAAACACACAGACACACACAAATAATATAAATATTGCAATAGTAATTACAGAAGCGGAAATCCTATAATTAAAAGAATCTAAATCATTTTCATAAGCTTGGATCTACGATATTCAAAAATGAAGGGGAAAAAAATACAAACATTTGTTTTAAAATGCTGCCATTAAATAAAACAAATAGCTCATAAGGAACTCCTATTAGACCTCTTTGTGGTGCTGATTGTGAGGCAGATGAGTGAGCCAAGGAGCCATTCTGCCAAGGTAGTTCAAGCATGTTATATTGTTCAAAGCTTTCGCTGCTCATTTCAGCATGCTCATTGCAACTGAGTTTCAGATAGTTCAGATAGCCTTGCTTTGCGTCTTGTTCCTGTTTTCCATTTCATTGCTTTTTTCCTAAAAATCTTGATTCTTTGTAACATCTGCCCTTGTTTCATATTTCAATCCTATACAAAGCCAGCTCTGAGGCACCTCATGGCCAATACAAATTCTTGTTAGTTGGTATGGCTTTGCTCAGCAGTGATTTAGCAGCATGAACCAGGGTTGAACTGAATTATTATTGCAAGGCGAGATCATAACAAATACAATTTCCTGCTGCGTGCTTAGCCAGGCACTACTGTAGTACTAGTTCCTTATTTTCCCATGCCCTTTCCTCACTGCACAATATAGTACCTGCTGTCAGGTTAATCCTAGGCACTAGTACCAGAGTATTTTATTAAGAAGGAGGAGGTAGAAATAACAGCAATCCACCAGCTGAGCAAGTGATAAAGAGAACATGATAGCTTTTGTTTTGCTGGTATGAGCTGGTATTCAGCAATAATTAATATGAATTGAGCTCACAAAACATAGATAAGGAACCCTCTTTATATATTATATATTGGATCCAGATTCAGTCCTGTTTAAAATAGAGCAACCAAAATAAGTGGGAATTAATTTAGTCATTTCTAACTTGAAATTCTTTGTTTCAATTGATCTGCTCTTATTATTATTAATTTGGTTTACTTGAAATCCATACATGTACTTTCAGCAATACTCTGCTTTCTTGATATACGTTGTTAAATTCTATACATTACCTAGTAGACTACTTTCCAGGAATAGAATATCTCTTGAAGTACATTACTGTAGCCCACATACTGAACTGGCTAGGACCACTTATCAGGCACATATATACACAAATATCTCTCTCCTTTCTTCTAACTCCTGATTGTCCATTATTATTATTATGTTTTAATAGTTTGAGGAAAGTGACCAATTCAAAATTAACACTAGCATTCAAAAGATCATTGAATTACTTAAAGTATCTTACAGGTAGTTCTCCCTTAATGATAGTAACTGGAACCAAGAACCCCATCGTTAAGTGATGCAGTTGTAAAACCAATCCCCACATGACCAGGCCAACTTAACAGTGGCAGTTCTAGCACTTCCAGTTGCTGTTGTTAAATGAATCCCACATGATTGTTAAGCCAGTTGTTATGTAATCATGACTGGCAATTTCCTGCTGGCTTCCCTATTGATTTTGCTTGTGATCATGACTGGCATGATTTTGCTTGTGGGAAGCCAGAGTGAAGGTTGCAAACGATGATCAAGTGATTGTGGGATGCTGCAACAGCTGTCAATGCAGGTTGGTTGCAATCAAGTGCCGAAATTGCAATCAAGTGATCATGGGGATGCTATGACGGCACAACTTCAAGAACCGGCCATAAATCCACCTGTTTGGTGCCATCATAACTTTAAATGCCATGAGCAAGTGAGAACTACCTGTAGCTCCCTTGTAGCTTTTAAAAGACCTACACTCTTTCCCTATAATATATGAAATACCATTTCCTTAAATTAGGGTGTTCCAATATATAATTTTCAGAAATATGTGTCTCAGGTGACTAATTAAAATATAGGTTATTTGATGAGCTATAACATTAAGATCATCCCATTTACAAAATTAGCAGAAACATATTAAAACTAGCATTTCATTTCTGTTTGGGGGGAGGTGTTTCTCCCTCAATTTCTTTGCTGTTTGGCCATTGAACTGCCTAAATAAAAATGCGATTAAAAAATAATGTGGGGTTTCTTCCTCTCTTGGAAGCTGAAATTACAGTGGGAATGACATTAGATCCACAAAGACTGCAGTCAGGAAACAATCTGAACCGGGAGGATAGAGAACCCTTTCCGAGAATGGTTGATATATAGAAAGAAGTAGCAACATCACACATTTCACTGCTGTTTCTTGGAAAAAAAGGAAAAGGCAACATTATTAGGAGTCTTTATCACTGTCTTCACCACCATACATATCGGCCAACTTCCTAAAACGAGGTCCCCAGTCACTGAGGTAATCATAGTCCTGGTCTCCATCTGTAGTCACTGACTCTAAAGAGCTAAGAGAGTCAGCAACTGAGCCACTGCCTTCATATGCATATGTAGCTAATGAGTCATAAGGGGGTGCAGTGGGGTCTGTATCATTCTCCTTTAACCTTTGGCTAATAAAATCTCTGACATCAGTGTTGTCTCGTACCACTGGAGTCCGGCGTGGCATGAACAGCGTTTCGGGCACAATGTCTCGGCGCAATTTATTGTCCTCTATGGCTTCAGGATTCCGCAGCGTGCCAATATCAAAGGCTTGAGTGTCTTCCTCTCCACCACCTTCGTCATTGTAACTGACAATGTTATCTCGGATGTCCTCTTTAGAGATGATCAAAGGCTCCTTCTTCCTTTGCCGTCTCAAAGCGGCAAACAGCACCACGGTAACTGATAAGAAAATAAATAAATTAATTAAGCAAAGTCGGCTAAGTTGAGAGGGACATTAATTCTCCCACTAATTAAAAGAACGCCAAGCTACCATGAAATTTGTATTCTTGGGAACTTGTTTTGTTTTCTTTTGCAAAAAAGATCTGCGAAACAGTACAATTCACAACCTCATTCTCACTTGGAAGCTCATCATTTTAGGAGTTGTAAGTTACAGGAAAGGTTTGGCGAAATGCAGATTTCAAGCTAAAACATAGATGAATTTCAGTTTGTTTTCATGTTGTGAAATGCAATGCTTTTAAAATCACAGAAGTCATTATTTTGAGGAGAGCCAAAAGGGAAAAAAAAAGAAGATTCAGTTACATCAAATGTTGAGGGTGAATTGCTGAAATTCTTTGAATTTTGTTCTCTAAGGATTTTTTTTAAGTGAGATATACAGTAGCAATATTATATAAGGAAAAAAGTTATGGTAACACTGTAAAAATGTCTTCCTTTAAAAAAATATTGAAGGTATTTTATACTTCTTGATTTAATCTGTTAATTAAAAATAGGTAATTGTGAGCATTTTTCCAGTTGCCTCTGACGGTATATTTGCCTTTTGACACTTAAAAATTGCCAATTGCCAAAATCTGAGTATGAAAAATTAGGAACTATTATTTATAACTGGTGGTTTAAAATGTGGACTTACCTTCAATCATTTCCGGAATTAGAACATTTGGATGTGAGTGCTGGTATAAATATTCAAGCATACAACTACCAAAGTTCTCAGTGATACTCTTAATGTATTTTTTAATCCCCTTCTCTCTCTCTTTTAGTTTAAAGAAAGTTTGGAATATTTATTAGATAATTTTCTCTATACTCCAAATTCAAAGGGGATTGGCGTAAAATTAAAATGGACACTTAGCTATATTGTCAAGCTGACTGCCCCGTTCTTTTCCCAACTTCACTAAAATACTTCTCCATGGAAATGAAAATACTAGTTTTCTTATCGATAGAAATCATGAATTATCATGCTTTTGCAGTCTTACAAAAATATTCAAGAAGTTAACAGAGCCACCTCATGATTTTCAGAAGATCCTCAAGGAAGACAACTTTACCAAACCCCTTAGCTTAGAAGAGTGTTCAAATTATAAATTAAGAAAAATATAAGTTTTACACAAATGAGACTGCTTATCTGTCCAACCAGTAGTGGGATTCAGCCGGTTCGTATCACTTTGGCAGAACCAGTAGCTAATTTTCTGTTGCCCAGGCCCAGAATGGACTTCCGGAAGTGGCATCCACACAGAGAACCGGTTGTTCACACATTTGAATCCCACCACTGTGTCCAACTGGCTAGCATAACTTCTCAAGAATAGTTTTTTCCCCTCAAATGTAGATCACATGGGCAAACCCTATGGTGTTTGAATATATAAATAAAGTATCCCTAAAATAACTATTTGGAAATGGGAAGGTATGGAAACCATGTAAAGGTTGCCTAGCCTCAACAACCTAGCTTTGGAGTTTATCTATTCCTTTGAATGAAATATTTATCTTTGGGTCCCAAAGATGCTTTTTCACGAGGCAACCAGACTTTCTTTTTTCTCTTTGAAAATGTTTCACTTCTCATCCAAGAAGCTTCAGAGGTCTTGGATGAAAAGTTAAATGTCTTCAAAGAGAAAAAAGAAAGTCCAGTTGCCTCATGAAAAAGCACTTTTGGGACAACCATGACCTGGATGAATAAGAACCTCCATAGACATCTATCTCTGTGCCATATAAATTCTGCCTCAGTCCAAATAATCATCTGTACTCTATATTTTCTGATACTTTACCAACTAGTGTAAAAATACAGAGCTAATTTGCATTTTTAAATTTATTTTTAGTCTGGTACTCTAATATCACTAGAAATGAGATTTCATTCAAAGAAATAAATATGCAAATTGAATTTGTGCAAATTACTAAGTAATTCAGCTCAAAATATAATTGTGTTCTCAGTTCTCAAGCTGTTTTTTTCATTTTAACCTGAACTTGTAGAATAGGTCTTCTTAATGGTAAAAAAAAACATGTTAAAAGTAAAGCTGACATGTTGCTTCTCTTCTGGCTCTTCAGCAATTCTTAGCATTAAAAAAAAAAAAAAAGCTAGGCCTACTAAAGACTGAAAATAAAATATATAACCAAAAGTAAATGAATGATAAAATCATCTGCTTTGTTACTCTTAAAAATAGAATTTATAGTTTAATTATTTTGCTGCTTTTGGTTTACCACCTGGCATTAATATTGTATTACAGATCAAAGGAGAAGAAAAAGATGACATCAGCTATTAATTGAATTCTACTGCAGGCTATAGAATTGCAATCCCAATAATTATTATTTTAAACCCCATCTTGACAGCATAATGTATTGATTCCTAGATTATAAAGTTGTAGGGAGAAAATCAAGAAACCATCCAGGAGACACTCCCTTCCCCAAAACGGGCAAGACAAGCTTTTATATCCAAACAGGGAGAACACCCTACACTCATTCTCACGAATGAAGTTATTTAGCTGGATAACAAAATCTTTGCAAGCAGGCAACTAAGTTCAGAGAGCATCAAAAACTCCACAGTTCAAACTCGAGCTAGAGATATTCTCATGTATTGGTGAATTTTTTGCAAGCACGTTAGAATTCCAGGTGATGAGCCTTTCCCATCTGCATCTACCAAACATGTCCTGACAACATTTTGTTGTTGTTGTTGTATGATTATCTGCTATGACTTTAAACAGAGGCAAAGACATATCAGAAATCAATACAGCAAAAATTATGACAGTATACTTTTCTTGCTATGTTGGCTTCATTTCAACCCAGCATCCAGCTAGGGAATGATGGGAATAATAATGTCCTGACTGGAAGTAGAAGGATATGTTGTGGCAGCTGCATTTAAGGAATTAGTATGCCCACATCTTCTTAGTGGGTGAACTTTAAATTGTATGTGTTTGAATTGATCCATGTGAGTTCCTTCATAATTATAACCGCAGAACATGGTTAGGATTAATAATTCTGAACTGTTTATAGAGGATACATACTTGAGTTTGTTGATTAGATGGCCAACCCACTATAACTAACAAATTAGCCAAAGAAACTTGTGAAATAGGAAAGATGGCATGAAACTGAAATGGTGGTTTTTTTCTTTACCACCATCAATGTACTGGGTATCACTGTTGGTGAATACTCAGTAGACCCAGAATGTAAAAATGTATCATGAGCTAATTCTATCTATACCAGAAGATGACTCTATTAATAATACTTCATAGTTATATTAATGTGTAAATATGTTTCATTTGTTCTTTAGCACAATCTATTTTCTCCATCCTACTCCCCCAACTTCATGCAAAGTTCATGCAAAGTTCTTTACCTAACAATATAATTATACAAAGGAGAATTGCGATCAATGCGCCTGTGCTAAGGCCAGTTGGGTGGATCAGGGCTTCAGCATTACAGGAGAGCATTTTGCCTCTTTGGTCACAGGCACACACTCGAATTGTCACCGTCTCCGTACTACTCTGAACCGGATACTCATTGTCCGAGATTATCACTGGTAGGAGGTATGTATTCATTTCATGACGGCTATATCTCATTTTCTTTGTGAAAACTCCAGCTGTATTATCTGAAAAAAAAAAGTAAAAACATGGTAAGGAGTATGTTCTTTCTGAAGGTCAAAACTCAAGTAAGGAGAGAAAGTATGCAATAAAAAACAAAACAAAACAAGGATACCTTTGTTGTCCCGAAGGGTGAAATTGGAGCTACTGGCTACTTCTGGGGCCAAAGCGAATGAGAATTTATGCCCACCAAAAGCATCATCTTTGTCAACTGCACTTAGGGTCTGGATGAGCTAGAAAAGTGAAAATAGTGTTATTTTATGGCACGCAGACTAATATCTACATCTTGCTCTTAATTCATCAGAAAGAATAAATGGGATGAAAGCAATCAATTAATAACAACAAGCAAGACAACAAACAGTGATTGATGAGAATATTTTATTATTGTATACTTTCCTCCCAATAGAACACTTTTCCCATGAAAACTGCTTTGAGAGGAGAGAAAAAAGGCTTTATGTTGGTAATGTAGTGAAAGAGGGATTTATTAATCCCCCAACATGCTTGTATGTTTCAAGGCATCACTGAAAGAGATTACCATATCTGCCTCAGACAGATTATTTTGTTACCTACTCTAGTATGTCTCTTTTTGTTCCATTCAATCATGTCCAATGCCCAGAGACTACCTGGAGTAGTTCTTTAATTTTCTTAGCAAGTTTTTTTTCCAGATTTGTCATTGCCTGCTTCATAGGGCTAAGAGAGAGGGACTGGCTCAAGGCCACCTGGCTGGCTTTTTGCCTAAGGCCAGAACAGAATGGCTTCCAGTTTCTAGCTTTATGTTTTAAGCACTACACCATTCTGGCTCTTGTTGTACACACACATACACACACATCATAAGAGTAAGATTGAGGAAAAGCAACCCCTCTCCCACTGCAATATACCAGATTTTCCATAAGTTAAACTCTTATGGGAAAAAAAAAAACCATTGTTACATCAAGCATGATTGGAGCAATACCTAAAGGATTCCCTCGATATTTGAAAATATTGAATTTATCAGACCTGAACATCCTTATTTCGCCAAAAAAGAAAAGAAAAAGAAAAAAAATACCCTGCTTAGAACTGCCTATATACTTGATTAGGACTTGAATTATTATGTTTTTGCCAGTCTCTGTTTATGAATCAAATGGAAGATTACACATAAAATAATACTAACTGGTCATTTGGATTGCTGAATAACCAGACTTTGGATCTGGTGATATTTGCTCCATTAAGGTTGCAGATTCTATATATATACTCACCATGGGTTTATCAAAAGGAATAGAATTTCCTGTCAAAAGGAACATTAGAAGGGCAGAACTGCAGATAGTGAAACAAAGTATGGAAAGAGCCATTTAAAACCATGCAAAATGCCAGTTACAGCTTGGGCCAAGAAGTGATGAGTTGATTTCATTTACTGTTGCTGACAGTTCCTTGCAACACAAAAGGCACAAAACATCAGATATTTATTTCTTTCAAAACACAAACTGCTAACCTGCTCAGCCTTTGCATTTTCACAGACGAAGGTCTCATAAAACATGACAAACTCTGGGGCGTTGTCATTCACATCCAGAACTTTAATAAATACTGGGACTTGGCTACTTTCTTTTGGGTTGTCTGTAATAACACAAAGGGAAGGTATTTTAATATGAGGAGAAAGAGGCTTGCTTGTTGTTGTTTTGTTTTTTTCAGGGGAGCAAGACATTGGTGAAGTGCATTCAAGCAATGAGTGATAACATTCTTTTACTGAGAGCAGCAGAAATATACAGGACTGACAATATACTGTCTAAGGGAATAACAGAAGCAGAATAGGCTGGCAAATAAATGGATAGTGTGTTATTTACTGCACCTAAGTGTGACATAGCATACAATCCTGTCCTTCAGAGAATGAGAATGGCTTGGCCTGTCTCCTCTCCTTTTCAGCATCCACTCCTTGAGATAGCTTGCCTCATTCTTCATAATAATATGACTGGTTCAAATTCCATCTTATGATTCCCCCCCCCTCCTTTCCATCTGTATAATTCTCTGATATAATGTCACCAGAGAGACCACCTCAAATCCATAGGATTCCTTCCTATCTTCCCTTCATCTATATTACAAGGGCAATTTGGAAATAAACCTCCATTTGGTTATCAATGACACTTGCAGATACAGAACTTTTTTTATACACAATAGAAAACTATATTACATTGCTTTTTGACATAATCACCATTCAAATTGAGGTACTTGTCATAACGTCTTACAAGGTTTGAAATTCCTTAGGGTTCCTCGGCGCCAAATCTGGGCTATGGGGGGAGGGATGATCAAAAACATCCTAAGGGAACTGCTTCAAAAGTTCTTGGGTGCATCTAGAGGTATGCGGGCGAGCATTATCATGAACCAACACCACACCAGGAGTCAGTATGCCCCGACGCATGTTATTGATGGCTCATATGAGTTTTCATAACATTTCACAGTAGACTTCTGAATTGATGGTCGAACCACGCTGCATGAACTTCACTAGCAGTACTCCTTTGGCATCTTCACATTTGGTGGGATTTTCTATGGCACCACTTCCGGTGTGGTGTTGGTTCACAATAATATTCGCTTGCACACTGCTAGATGCACCCAAGAACTTTGGAAGCAGTTCCGTTGGGATGTTTTTGATCATCCCTCCCCCATTCTATTGTCCAGATTTGGCACCGAGCAACTACTACTAAGGAATTTCAAACCTTGTAAGATGTTATGACAAGTGCCTCAATTTGAATGGCGATTATGTCAAAAAGTAATGTAATGTTGTAGTTTTCTAATATGTATAATAAAAGTTCTGCATCTGCAACTGTCTGTCATTGATAATTAAATGGAGGTTTATTTTCGAATTGTCCTCGTACTTCTATTGCTACTACTACAAATGAAAAAAGAAAGAAAAAAAACGGCAATATTAAGAAGAGCCTTTCTTGTAATTCTTGAGATTGTACTGTTTGCATATATGTGGTTGATTAATATAAACAGATAAAAGGGGAATGTGAGTCAGTGATCACCAAGGGTTTGAGGAAAGGGGGCAAGTGGGGGAGGATTTTACTATTAGAATTTTCATTTTGATTTGAGTAAAATTGAAAGACAAACTTTACCTGCTTATGCTTCTTATCTGTGCTAACATAAACAGAAATCTGACATGCTGTTGCTTGCAACTCTTTTTCCAAGGATGAACTTCAAAGGAAACATTGATATAATATTCACTTTATAGTGAGCAGCTTAATCTTTTCTCTTCATCATATGCAATATGAAATGCTTTGGTCCTCTTTACCACAATGAAATTTTAGCTTTTCATTTCCATATCAGTATTCTTCATTTTTAGTCTAGGCCTTAGACAGAACCTGTGTGTATCTTTTTTTTTTTTTTATTGAAAGTTTTATAAATTTTACAAAAAGACAAAAATAATACAAAACAAAAAACAACATATACAAAAAAAAACTAAACATCACATATAAAAAAAAACCCCCATCCCCCACCCCTCACAAACACCCTCCCTTCCCCCCCCTGAGCTTCCCAGAGCAGAATATAGGCTTAGTTAAAAATTAACAAATAAAAATAAAAAAATAAATTAAAAAATTTATATTTATATATATAAAAAAAGTATCTATATATAACATTCTCTATATATGAAAGTAAAACTTATGAAAAAGCTATATGATATTTTTTAATACCCAATCTAAATTGTATAAATTTTATCCATTTGTCCCAAACGGCAAGAAACTTCTCTTGCGTTTGTTGCTTTAAGAAAGCCGAAATCTTTGCCATTTCCGCCAGATAAGCTACTTTAAGAAACCATTCCTGCAATGTAGGCAAAGATTCCTTCTTCCAGTATTGTCCTACTAACAGCCTGGCGGCTGTAATCAAATTTAACATCAATACAACCTCCTTTGTATCACAATCTGTAACAATGCCCAACAAAAATAATTGCGGAGTAAATTTTACCCTCCTTCTAAAAATTCTCTGGATATTCCACCATATTTTGATCCAAAATGCTTTTATCTCTCTGCATGACCACCAAATATGATAATAAGAAGCATCCGTATAACCACATCTCCAACATTTGGGTTGTACGTCAGGGTACATAAGAGACATTTTTTGTGGATCAAGGTGCCATCTATAAAACATTTTATAAAAATTCTCCCTAAGGTTCTGTGCTTGTGTAAATTTGACATTTCTCACCCAAATGGTTTCCCAGATATCCAATGAGACTGGGACACCAAAATTCTGCGCCCATCTAATCATGCAGTCTTTAATTAATTCCGTTTCTGAGTCCATTTCAACTAATACCCCATAGATTCTCTTGATATGGGTTTGTCTTTGATCCTTGACTTGCTTAATAAGATTTCCATCTTCTCTAAGAAAACCCAATTTACAATCCACCTTCCATTTATCTACTAGTTGCCTATATTGGAACCAAGAATAAATAATATTTTCTTGCGCTAAATCTTCCCGTAATCTTAACTGCCAGTTTTGCCCATCCCATCTAAGTAACTGACTATAAGACACCATATCCATTTTTACACCTCTTTTTATTCCTTCTATCGCATGCCAAGGTATGGCCCATAATGGAACTTTAAAATCACTTTTATAATATTTTCTCCAAGTCCTAAGTAAAGAGATTCTTAAAATATGAGATTTAAAGACCCAATCCATTTTTTTATTAAATATTAAATAGGCATGCCACCCATAAAGTAAATCCCATCCCTCTATATGAAGTATCTCAGGATTTGTCAAATTTACCCAATCACTAATTAGTGTTAAAACCACCGCATCGTAATATAATTTCAAATTTGGTACCTTGAGTCCACCCCTCTCACGGAAGTCTTGCATAATTTTAAACTTAACCCTTGGCTTTTTCCCTGCCCAAATAAATTTATTAAGACCCTTCTGCCACTCACTTAGGTTAATCTCATTTTTCAAAATCGGTAACATTTGAAACAAAAAAAGAAACTTGGGTAGAATATTCATTTTTATCACTGCAATTCTTCCCATGAGGGATAATTGCAACTTCTCCCAATTCTTCAAGTCCTTCTGTACCCTGACCCACAACCTTTCATAGTTATTTTTAAATAATTTTACATTAGAAACAGACAACATCACCCCCAAATATTTTACCTTATTAACAATCTCAAAACCCGTCAAGTTAGCCAAAATCTGCTTCTCCTGACTAGACAAATTTTTAGGTAAAATTTTAGTCTTATTTACATTAATCTTGAAACCCGAAACCAAACCATAATAATGAATCAACTGTAATAAGTTTACTACAGAGCGATCAGGTTGCGACAAAGTAACAACCAAGTCATCCGCAAAAGCTCTCAACTTATATTCTTTTTTGTTAACTTCTATTCCTTTAATTTCCTGAGACTCTCTAATTTTAATCAATAATATTTCCAATGTTAAAACAAACAACAATGGCGATAAAGGACACCCCTGTCTAGTACCTTTCTCTATTGTAAAAACCTCCGACAAACCTCCATTAACAATAAGTTGTGCCGTTTGTTTTTGATATATTACCGTGAGGGCTTGTAATATCTTTTCGCCAAAATTCATTTCTTCCATTACTCTTAGCATAAAATGCCAATTCAATTGATCAAATGCTTTTTCAGCATCTAAAAATATGAGCCCTGCAGAAACTTGGTTGTTCTTGTCTAAATATTCTAATAGATTAATAATTTGTCTAACATTATTTTTCATATACCTTCCTGTTATAAACCCTGATTGATCTTTATGCACAAGATGATGCACCACCCTCATAAGCCTATTTACCAAAATTTTTACAAATATCTTATAATCCACATTTAAAAGAGATATAGGCCTATAATTTTTTGGTAAAGTAAGATCTTGATCCTCCTTTGGAATCAATGATATAAAAGCACTACGCCATGAAGGAGGAATCTCTAAACCCTGTAAGATACCATTAAAAAGATCACTTAATGGTTGGATCATCTCCTCCATTCTATAGTCCTTGAAAATCCAGAGAAAATCCAAAGAATAAAAGATAAAAGAGCAAACAATTCAACAACAAAAAAAAAAAAATTTTTCTATACCAAAAGCAAAAGCAAAATCCAATCCTTAAAAAGGGAAAGTAAAACAAAAGGGAAAGGAAAAAAAACTCCGACACTTTCAAAATGCCATCTTAAATCCTTTCACTAATATAACAAAGAAAAGGAGGAAAAATAATCAAAATCAAATAATAAAAAAAATAAACACCTAAATTATATAACAAAAATCCTTTAAACTGCTCTGTCCGTTTAAAAATTACTCACCAAAATACTATAAACACGGAGATAGAAGCGGCGGTTTCTTTTGCTTCCTAGGAAGCAAAAACAGCTGGGAGGCGGAGATCAGCAGGAGCTCCGAGGGAACACTCCTTTCACCCCCTCTAGAAATAAATCCAGAGGGGGTTTAGGGGTTCTACCTCTATTCCTGCGCTCTCTGTCCCTTCCCTTTGCCCGGGAAGGGAATTCCGAGCCGCGGGCCAGCTGATGCACGCTGTGCTCCGCGGCTCTGACACTTCCCCAGCTGGACGGCTAGAAAATAGCCGCCATCGCCATCGCCTCGTACCGGAAGTCAACCTGTGTGTATCTTAACAGAAATTCTTTTGGAAATAAGTTTTCCTGGAAGCCACAGAGGCTCTTAAAGGCAAATTTCCTAATTTTAGCTCCATTTTTCCATTCACCTTAGCAATAGCAATACCACTTACACTTATATACTTCATAATGCTTTACATCTAAGTGGATTACAGAATCAGCATATTAATCCCAATAATCTGGCTCCTCATTTTACTGACCTCGGAAGGATGGAAGGCTGAGTCAGGACTGAACTCTTGGCTATGGGCAGAGTTAGCCTGCAATACAGCATTCTAACCACTGCGCCACCACGACTCTTATCCCAATTCCCATTTTTAATAGATAAATTTTTAAATATGACATTAGTACTCTGTAGACATTTTCTATTACAGTTCCTAGCAATTTCACCTAAAATGTAGAAATACCTATTGCATAGAGTTCAATTATCATACTGGCTTAATATAAATGTTTTATCATGAATTTATAAATGATAACAATCATATTCTGCATGTTTCTGTTAGTAGTGTAACCTTACAGAGAAATATATAGTAAGAGCAGGCATCTAAGAATGCAAAAGGGAGTTTGTGGAGAAAAGGAATATGGTGGAGTTTACTCCTTACTACCCATATTAGTAATTCCAGTGGGTTTTATTAATATTGCTCTGTATGATTATTGTTATCTGTAAGTGATGAATATTTTTTATGTGTAGTTACCTTTAATGGGCATACCATATCTGAGCTATAAAATCTGAGGGGAAGACAACAGTAGCAAAGAGAGAGAGAGAGAGAGGGAGAGAGGGAGAGAGAGAGAGGGGGGGGGAGATATTTCTGTTCACTGCCATCTCATTATCCTCTAGAATTTTGTAGCCCAGATATAGTAGCTTTATGTTATATAAGAAAAAGAAGATGGCTTAATTTGCTCCGATGCCACATTTATCTCCAGTTGTTCAGATATAAACTTATAATTGTACAGTAATGAATATGTTACTCTTTAATATAGTACAAGGGTTGCTTTTCATCAAACGTACTCTTCAATATCTTCAAAGATGATTTAGATGAGGGAATAGAAGGGGAACTAATCAAATTTGCAGATGACACTAAGCTGGCAGGAATAGCCAACACCCCAGAAGACAAGATAGGATTCAAAAAGATCTTGACAGATTGGAACAATGGGCCCTATCCAACAACATGAAATTTAGTGTGGAGAAAAGCAAGGTTTTATACCTAGGCAGGAAAAACCAAAGGTAAACAAGTACAGATTAGGTGAAACCTGGCTCAAAAACAGTAACTGTGAGAGGGACCTTGGAGTCCTAGTGGATAATCACTTAAACATGAGCCAGCAGTGTGCAGCAGCAGCAGCCCCCCCCAAAAGCTAATACAATCTTGGTTGATATAAACAGGGTCATAGAATCAAAATCATGTGAAGTATTAGTACCGCTTTATAAATCCTTAGTAAGACCACATCTAGAATACTGCATCCAGGTTTGGTCATCACGTTACAAAAAAGATGTTGATGCTTTGGAAAAAGAGCAAGAAACAGCAACTAAGATGATTAAGGGCCTGGAGACAAAAACATATGAAGAACGGTTGCAGGAATTGGGTTTGGCCAGGCTAGAGAAAAGAAGGAGTAGGGATGACATAATAGCAGCATTCCAGTATTTGAGGAGCTGCCACAAAGAAAAGGGGATCAGCTTATTTTCCAAAGCACCAGAAGACAAGACAAGAAACAATGGATGGAAACTAATCAAGGAGAGAAGCAACCTGGAATTAAGAGAAACTTCCTGACAGTGAGGACAATGGAACAGCTTGCCTCCAGAAGTTATAGGTGCTTCATCACTGAGGATTTTAAGAAAAGATTGGACAGCCACCTATCTGAAATGGTATAGGGTTTCCTGTTTGAGCAGGGGATTGGACTAGAAGACCTCCAAGGTCCCTTCCAGCTGTATTTGGACTGATAGATTGGATTGCCATTATCATAAAAGATTGCTCCTCCCTCCATTACCTCCGCTTGGACAAAACTGGACATAGTGAAGGATGATACATGTGGCTGACATTTTCAAAGACGACAAAACATGAATTTTGCTTTCACTGCAATCTAAATGCCCTGAAGCTAGCTCTTGAAGGATATCTACTTGAAAGTTAGTCCCATCAATAACAACTTTTGCATAAATGGATTTAAGAGTGATGAGCTGGTTTTTCAGTTCTCCTAATTAATTCTGAGCCTAATTAAATTAACAGGGTTTCAGAAGAAATAAGTGGCTTTTAAATTTTATTTGTTCATTTTGGCCAATGCTATACGACTGAAATTCCCAGGAATGAAAAACATATAGGATTTTCATTCTCCTCCCTGACATTATATAGTTGTATATTTTTAATCTGTAACTTGTTTTTTCTGCAAATCAGCAATTCCTCACTGATAGTCAATGACCAGGAAAATTCTTCTAGTTTGTTTGATATAAAATGAGAGGCCTGCTTATTTTTTTTCTGTTCAGGCATTCAGTTGCCTCTTCATAAAAGGTGAGAAAAAATACAGAAACTTTGTTTGGTTTATGTCTTCAAATAACAGCAAGCAACCAAAGCATATAGACCCGACTTCCTTTCAGCCATGCTTGGCTAGAAGGTTGCACTTGTTAGAGCAATGCTGCTTTTGTGTGTGTCTCTCTCTCTGTGTGTGTGTGTGTGTGTGTTTGTGTGTTTTTACAGACAACTTACTGATTTCAGCAGCTATTACTGTAATGTTATGCCACAATAACATTTCTCGGTCGAGAGGTTTGGAAGTAAATATTGATCCATTTCCAGAATCAATGTTGAATATTCTGTCCATATCAGTATGCCGATCCACAGAATATCTACAAATAGACAGATAAAAAGTGAGATGCATTTCCATTTCACACTTCTTTTCAGTTCCCATTGCTTTCTAAACCTTGGTAGGGAAATCCAATAAATTTGATCTATTTCTCAGCTTAATCCTGTATCCAAAGTCTCATTCTAATTCCTATTCTGTTGGCTTTTGAAAAATATATTGGAACACAAATGTTTAGTCTGTTTATATACTGTTTTGTCTCTAGCGGTCAATAAGCTAAAAAGGGCAGACGTATGCTACTAGAACTGCATTCCACACATATAATTGCAGCTCATGTCACTGAATACAAAGCCATGCTTCCCATATGTATCACACGATCATATGTAACACAGAGATACATAATGTGTTTAGGGCAGGGGCACATGTGTGACACTGCAGTTTCAGAAATTGGGAGGGATCTTTTTTCTAAAAAAAAAAGACTATCTATGTATGCCTGCACATTGTAGTTGGATTGAAATGTAACCTCTCCCTTCAAAAATTAGTTGCCTGACATGTTATTTAAAAAAAGCAGAAATGAAGGATAACCACTAATTCCTGGCTTCCTAGGTCCAAGATAAATTGAAAGGGAAGTTCACATGGTTACTGCTTTGAAAACTCTCCAATTGATAGGGATTACAAGATCATACAGTGATTACATATCTATAGCAATACCAATTACAATAAATTACAACTGTTTTGAGTTTCATTAGAATGTAATTGCAGAGTGTTTGTGCATAACAGGTGATGAATCTGTAATGCAAATGTGCCAGACATTGCAGTAATAGGGAACATACAAGGTCTCTGTCATGTTTCCGGAGCCCTTATTCCATATGTTATTCCAGAAATTCATAGTGATTATGTGGCAGATGATGGCTGTATAGGAAGGAGAGTTGCTGGCTTGCAGGTACTACAAATTTATAAACTATCATTAGGCCCACTAACATTCATTCATTCATTCATTCATTTGACTTATATAAAGATTCTAGGCAGCTCGCAACAATCCATAAATACACAGCTAAAAATAAAGTTACCCCTCTCTCCATGAATCAGACCAAAACACTTTTAAAGGTAATAATGCTAAATAGAACTCCTTTTAAACAAGAATTTTAAAGCAACTTCAGCAATCACAGTAGAGGCTGATTCCATTCTTTAAGGGAAACAATGAAGCCTTCAGAAAGCTTAAAGTGATAAATATCATGAGGTTTTTTTTTTTTAAGATCAAGGGAAATGAGCTTCAGGGCTTATTTGTTCGTTCGTTCATTCATTCATTCATTCATTCATTCATGCCATGATGCACTAATTAGGTCTCAAGGACAGGAATAGCCAATGCCATTCTCAACCAGCCTTCAAGCCCATCATGAAGACTTTTACCCATCTTGCTCCAGATTAAAAACAGTACAGGTAGTCCTTGACTTACATCAGTTCAGTTAGTGACCATTTGAAATTACAACGGCACTAAAAAAAGAGACTTACAACCGTTTTCCACACTTATGACCATTGTAGCATCTCCATGATCACGTGATCAAAATTCAGATTTGTGGCAACTGACTCATATTTATGACAAATGAAGTGTCCTGGGGTCATGTGATCTGCTTTTGCGACCTTCTGACAAGCAAAGTCAATGGGGAATCCAGATTCACTTAACCACTGTGCTACTAACTTAACAATTGCAGTGTTTCACTTAACAACCATGGCAACAAAGGCCGTAAAATGGGGCAAAACTCACTGAACAACAAACATCTCACTGAACAATAGAAATTTTGGGCTCAAATGTGGTCATAAGTGAAGGATTATCCTGTATTTTGTGACTGTCAGCATAGGTAGTGCTTGCAGTGCTTCATTTGCCTTCTCAGTTGCAATACCTGCCCTAAGGAATAGTCTGCCCCCTGAGATTCAAAGAGCTTTTACCCTGTTAGCTTTTTGGAAGGAAGTCCTGGCTTTTCTCTGAGGTTCTGGGGTCAGGATGTTCTTGGAAACCATTGTGTATATTTTTATAATTTGTTATGGGAGAATTTTGCCTGCAGCCCTAACTGCTTGGCATTCTATTGTATTTATTGCATTTTATATATTATGCATTGCTACTTGCTCAGGGTCGCTAGTTTGACATGGGTGGGTTTATAAAGCAGTCTGCAGCTGAGTCCCTATTGGTCTCACCTTCTTTCACACAGTTAATCTTACAGTATGGCAGCCATGTCAAAGAGCCATTTCTGTTGAACAGAGATTCTAATAATCGGTGCTGTGAGAAGACCAGCTCTAAAAAAAGAGAAGTAGGTGGGAATTAAAGCTTAGCTATGCATTATGTTAACCAAATTATTAAGAGTCATGTGATAGGTGCATGAAAATTGAATGCAGAAGAAGTTTGATAGTATATAGTCCTTGGTGCTCTCTGAATTGATTATCTGCTTGCAGATATTTCATTAGCAATAGCAGTAGCAATTAGACTTATATACTGCTTCATAGTGCTTTACAGCCCTTTCTAAGCAGTTTACAGAGTCAGCACATTGCCTCCAACAATCTGGGTTCTACTTTTACCAACCTTGGAAGGCCGGAAGGCTGAATCAACCTTGAGTTGGTGAGAATCAAACTGCTGGCAATTGGCAGAATTAGCCTGCAATACTGCATTCTAACTGTTGTACCACCACAGCTCTTCATTATCTAACTAGGTGACAAGATCAGTGGTGCTGAGTGTGGGGTTTGCTCCTGTTTATATACAGAGGCTTGCCCTGCCTATGTTGGTATGCATTTCATTTTCTTTTGATAGTTCCTTGATTGGGCATTGTTTTCTGATTGTTTGCTTAGCTATTATTGTCTCCAGCTGCTTATTTTTTTTAACTGTCTGTTTTGAATGGTGCCTAAATATGAATTAACGCTATGTGTATATTGATGACTGATTTGTCTGAATGCTAAGCTTCCAGGAATTCCCTAGCATTTTTTAATTATCTTGGTCTAGCCTGCTCACAGGTGTATCACAGGCCGATCACAGGCAAAAAACAATTGCTAACAGTTGCAAAAAAAAAAAAAAAGCTCACATGTGAAAAAAAAACACCTAAGAACAAAAATCACCAGAACATCCAGCACCTACATCCAGATACTGAAGGATTAACAGTCAAGCAGAAAATAATACCTTAATCAAGAAATTATCAAAGGAAAGACTACACCTTCCCGCCACAGTAGTGCAAGCTACTGTGTATAAATAGGGTTCTCACCCCACATTTCAGACAACCATTTGTCTAAAATGGTTTAGGGTCAACAGGGGACTGGACTAGAAAACCTCCAAGGTCCCTTCCAACTCTATTATTCTATGTTCTACTTTACTCACACTAATGATGTTAACTAATCAGATAATGAAACCTCTGCAAGCAAACTCAGAGAGCATCAACGATATCACAGTTCAATCCTGAGCTACCTATATTGTCTTCTATTGGAAGTTTGATAAGTACCATAGGACATGTTTTCGTTTGGTCAAAAGCATTATATGGCAATGGAGCAGAGGTGGGATTCAAAAATGTGAAAAAACTGGTTCTCTGTATGGATGCCACTTCTGAAAGTCCATTCTGGACCTGGGCAACAAAAAATTAGCTACCGGTTCTGCCGAAATGGTGCGAACCAGCTGAATCCCACCACTGCAATGGTGGATTTTTCTATTGATGTGCAAAAGACTGATTCTTTAATAAGATCATAACTAAGGGAAAGTTTAAACATCTTTCTGCTATGATTCCACTGATGATCTTTCCCATGTCTTGTATTTAATTGAAAAAAAATTGGGATTTAATTCCTAATCAGGTGATATAACATAACAAGTGGCTAAGTCTTTACGTTTGACTCTGGAGAAGCAGTAGGAACATAAGATCTACCCCTCAGAAAAATTAGGCAAAAAAAAAAAAAAAAAAGCAGAAAGCTTATCTCTCATCTTGCCTAGGAACCAATCAATAATAGTAAAGGTCCTATCTTATTTTTGTCCTATACTCCCCTTTCTTTTATATTAATGCTGATGATTAAAATAAACCATCACAAGGCACAGAATTAAAGGCTTAGAATTACTATAGAAAAACAGCAGTCTGAGAAAATATTAATTTTGTATTTTTTTTTAACATTAAAAGATAGAAAAGGAAAAACTGGAAGAGGCAAGAGCAGAAAAAGGAAAGGAGGCGAGGTTGTCAGGCAGGAATACAAGCTAAATTGAGGGCTAATCCACATGAAGCTCCATTTCCATCTGTCCTGTTTGCCATTGTTCACTCCCTAGACACTAAAATGGATGTTCTGGAACTTGAGCTGGCCACAAACAAGGAGTGTGTATCGGAGGTGGTGGCCCTTTGAGAGCTGTATGCAACGAAATTTCATTTTGATGTATGCCGATTGGTTTACATTCAAAGTGACAATAAAGTTGTTGTTGTTATTATTGTTGTTGTTATTATTATTATTATTAAAAGCAGATTTACAATAATTAAATATATATTCCAGTTATATTGTATATCTTGATCTAGAACAGCCCAACCTTTTGGGCACCAGGGACTAGTTCCATGGAGAGAGGTTGTCCTGCAGAATGGATGGGGCCTGGTTTCATGTGCTATCTGCATCCCCACAGATGGGATTTTGCTTCTTTGTGGGGCCTGGTTTCTGGCATGTTGAGGTTTGGTGCCGGTCCATGGACCGGGATTTGTGGATCCCTGATCTAAAGGATACATTTGATCAGCTATCCTGTCACTAATTTCATTCTGTTTAAAGAATCCTAGGTTTCTTTTGGTCAAAGACGGCTAATTTGGTTGAGCCGCTGATGACTACGACTGAAAAGATCATAGCCTATTAAGAATTAAGCTGACAACATCAAACTTGTTTGTACATTTTATAAATTACTATGTGTGTCCATCAGACTGTAGAATTTTATTCTTTTTAAATCCCGGGAAATGGTTAAATTGGAAGATATAATTTGTAATTGCTCAAAGCTTTGTTGTACTTGGAGTGCACAGACAAGACAAATGATCAGGGAATGTTGAGACAGCATCTGGTCAGTAAATTTCAGGAACAGCCATTAATTTATTTGCTGATTATCATCTTTTTACTCTTGTTTCAGTGTTTCAATTACATTTTTTTTCACAATGTTGGAGAGACATTTTTGATCACATCCGAAGAGCTAAATTTCACTTGAGCTGGTTCTTATCTCCACGTTTTTATTCTGATTGAGATTTTCTTTCAGGCATAGATTCCATTGTAAATGACTATGACAAAGTTCACTCCTCATTCGGAGCTGTGACTGGTTTAACGTTGGCTTTGATTTTGGCCAAAAATATGTGGAAAAACATTTTTCCTGTGATGAGATTGACTCCAACCCTATTCATTTTTTTTTGGGGGGGGGGACAGAAACATTGTGAATAGACTAGTAATTAAAGTGATTTTCCTGCTATGGTTCAGAAGTTGTAGCTACTTCTCAAGGTGTCATTGTTTTGGTTCACTTATCTTATACTATGATAGTTCTTATTTTTTTCCTTTCTTTTAAAGCTGCTTGCTAGCAGCTGTAGCTAGCAAGCAGATAAAAAAAAAATAGACTGAAGTGGATTGAATCATACTTTTGTTCCATCAGTCATTATTGTGTTACGTGTATTGTACTATGTCCATGCTTAGCAACCACAATTGAGACCGGTAACTTGGTCACTAAGACCCATGGTCACTACGGGGAAAACCACACAACAGTGATGGACTTAGATCATCACTTCTCATTCAGTCCTTAAGGAAACATCAGGAAATCATGACATATAATTTTGCAGGTAGTCCTCAACTTACAACAGTTCCCTTAGTGACTGTTCAAAGTTACAACGGCACTGAAAAAATGACTTATGGCCATTTTCCACACTTATGACCATTGCAGCATCCCCATGGACACGTGATTTACATTTGGACGCTTGATAACTGGTTCATATTTATGACTGTTGCTGTGTCTTTTGTGATCCCCTTTTGCGACCTTCTGACAAGCCAAGTCAATGGGGCAACCAGATTCACTTAACAACCAGGTTACTAACTTAACCACTGCAGTGATTCACCTAACAAATATGGCAAGAAAAGGTCGTAAAATAGGGCAAAGCTCACTTAACAAATTTCTCACTGAGCAACATAAATTCTGGGCTCAGTTGTGGCCATAAATTGATGACTACCTGCATCTCCATGTTCTCCATTAATTCTGTTTGTTGCAAGCTGCTTATGATTGGGATGCTGCAGCAGTTGTCAATGCAAGGACTGGCCACACAGCTGTTTATTTTTAATACTGTCATAACTCTGAACAGTCACTAAGCAGTCGGTAAGCAAGGGCTACCTGTATGTCTGTTACATATAGTTGCATTGCTCTGTTTATTCAAGCTTGGATTGGTGCATCACCCCTTCATTCTATGAGTTCCTTGAGAATCAAAGTAAAACGTTGTCATTCAAAGTAAAACGTTGTCATTCGGTGCTTTTCCTTTGTAGCAATGCTCCTTGAGCTAAAGGACAAGGATCTCATTCCATCTAGAACTAGAAACTGACGCTTCTAATAGTACATCATGCTACTATGCCCAAAAAAACATCCAGCTGCCAAGTAGATGGGGGAGATAGCAACTAAAATGCTATTCTATTGACAAATGTACATGCCACTCAAATCTGTTCATGCCAAAGGCAGGTTTTTACAAAGCTGGTTCCTTGGAGATCTTCTCTTAATTGCTTTCTTAAATACAGCATCCTCATGTTTAATGCAACTGCAAGTGGAATAGATTTCTGGGTCGACAAGACATCTATGTGAGTGGGTTTTTTTTTCTTCCCTTTCTCACTAAGCATTTATATAATGCCATTATGAAATATTTTTTAATGGGAGATCAAAGGACTTTCAAACTGACAGTGCTCCATGATTAGGTTTTTCTTTTTAAAGCCACAGTTAAGAAGGGAAAAATTGAGGGTTTTCAATGTAACACCCCGCTTCTGAAGGTTTTATTCCTAACTGTCAAAGGAAACTGACAAATAAGTGACAAATAGTACATATAATGGTCTAATTGCCTCCTCCCTCAAGCTGAGAGGAAAAGTTAGAGCTAGCATTTACACTTGAAATAGGGTATGCACTGGTGGTGGTGGTGGGGGGGATGGAAGTATTGTTAGCACAGAGTAGCCATTATAGATCTTGGAAGGTACAAAATAACATTGTACAAAAAGGTCCTTTTAGATCACATTTTATTGCAGGTATGCAGCTTGTATGGAAGCACAGCCCACTTCCTTCATCTCTCTTCTAGCATATTTTTTTCTTTGTTTGTCCCTAACTTCATTTGTTTTGCCCGAGTCTGTTTTTATACATAGCCTTCCATTTTCATCCTTCTCTTTTTAATGACCTACATGGCATCTCTCTTTTCATTTTTTAATTCCAGTTGTTGCCCACAGCCGGGAGATTCTTTCATTATGCAATGTCTTAATGTCATTTTATTGGGCAGAGGGAAATCTAAACATCATATTCCTTCATGATTTTTCCATGGTTTTCTACCACCCACCATTCCCCCCCTCCAATTTTATTAAGGATAACTATCCATCTAGCTAGCCATTTCCAACTAGGAAGCTCTCATAGATGTTGGACTATAATTTCCATTTTTCTCAGCCACCATGCACAATGTTATGCATGTGCATATTGAGAGGAAATTATAGAGGTAGTCCTCGACTTACAACAGTACACTTACTGACCGTTCAAAGTGAAAAAAATGACTGATGACTCTTTTCCACACTTACGACCATTGCAGCATCCCCATGGTCACATGATCAAAATTCAGATGCTTGGCAACTGCCCCATATTTATGACGGTTGCAGGCTCATCCGATTCCCTTTTTGTGACCTTCTGATAAGTAAAGACAATGGGAAAATCGGATTCACTTAAAATCCGCGTTGCTAACTTAACAACTGCATTGATTCACTTAACAACTGTGGCAAGAAAGGTTATAAAATGAGGCAAAATTCACTTAACAACTGTCTGCCAAAATTTTGGGCTCACTTGTGGTCATAAGTTGAGGGCTACCTGTAATTTAATTTGTTGCTTGCTGCCCAAGAAAGATGTAAGCCACAGAAACTGTGGAAGGAAGGAAGGAAGGAATGAGGGAAGGAAGGAAGGAAGGAAGGAAGGAAGGAAGGAAGGAAGGAAGGAAGGAAGGAAGGAAGGAAGGAAGGGAGGGAGGGAGGGAGGGAAGGGTAGAAAGGAGACAAGGGTGACAGGGTGGAAGAAAACTCTTTTACAATACCATAGAATGATTTTAGTGTTTTGTCTCACTTTGTATTCCCCACATATATTGAAAAGGGGAGGGGGAAATCCAATTCACTTTTCGTATATCTACTAAATCATTTTACCAAAGCACCTGTGTGCATTGGCACATGCTTTCAGGTCCCCCTTTATTACAATAATATTTTCTCATCAGGTTTGTATATTGCTGCCTTCTCAACTGACTCTTGTCAGTTGGGTACCTCTGGTCTGTTATGCTTACTTGATAGGGTTCTTTGCACTGTCAGGATCCCGTGCTGTTACAGCACCTATGACGGTGTTTATCAGGACATCTTCCTTTGCTTCTAATATATAAGCTGGTCTGCTGAAGACTGGAGGTTCATCTACATCCTCTACTTGAATTCTGACAGTAGTAATGTCCTTGAAGGGTCCCAGATAGAGGAATCTGGGATCCACATGAGGATTGCTAGCTTCCACTTTTAGAGTAAACTGTCTCCGCTTTTCAAAATCCAAAGCCTGAGAAGAGAAAATATATATATACATATATTATGAAGAAATTTGAGAAAGCATCCAGAAAGACCTATCAATTAAAGAAACCTCGAGTTGCAATGAATGAGTTTATGTTGTATAATTTAAACTCAAGCTTCACAATCCAATTCAGAATGAACATCCCTTGAATACAATGGAAAACATAAATGTTTGTTTTGACTATAGTCAAAGAAGACTTTAATGACCCATTCCCTAACAACCATCTTTTTGTCACTATAAACTGATGGATGTGCAGTGTAAAGGCTCAATTTGGAAATAAAAAAGATGTCTAAGGCTAATCAGACTTAAATAACTTGCTTTTGTAATCACTAGCAAGCAGTATAAAGGTGTAATTGAACACCTGATGGGCCTTGCTGCACGGTTGATTATTTCCATTCTATTCGGTATCTCATGAATTGTGCAAGTATATGCAAAATATCTACAGTATATCTGTAATTCTCCCCCTCTGAAAACTCTGATTTACAATAAACTCTAATTTAAGGTTTGTCCCACTCTAGACGAGCAAAAATATTTAATTATTAAAATATATTACTGTTTTAAGATTTTGAAACAAAAAATAGTTGATTACTCATAACAACTATAATCTGTGGTGAAAATTTTTGGCATCCAGAATCTGGTACTAAACACTGCTGGGATATGATGCAAAATAATGAGAGGTTTAGCTTCTTATTGGAAGCACAAATAATATTTCACTTTTAGCAAGGTGTTAATGGCATCAGCTTTGTTTAAGTCAACAGAATGATGTTGACACACTTAATTTACAGGATGTCAAGAGTATATACTGGCAGGAGTTCAAATTGACACTTTCCCATCTTTTCTAAAATGAACATTCCCAAATAGGTTTGCGAGACTCTGTCAGCTTCCTTGCCATAATAAAACATCTCCTCACAAATGAGAAAATACAGTGTTCACTTGGAATTGCCCTTTCTTTTCCTTAAAAGCACATGGCCCCCAAATAGTACACTGGGAATGCAACTGAGTGCGATATGTGCAGTCAAAAGCAATCAAGTGTAATATTCAGTAAATTGGTACAGCAGAAATGCTATCAGCAAGCAAAATGATAACCATCTTGGTTTTTTTACTTGATTGCTTACTAACAAGTGCTGATGGTGAATTAATGATTCTATAGAAGTAGCTGAAGAAATCTGCCTTAATGGCTTTTGCTGTCCACAAGATTATTGTGCATCAACTTTAATGGCATCTACTTGGTTTGCCCATGACCCATATACTTGATGGTAGATAATCGTTATAGTGCCATCAGTGAAAAGCACTATTTCCAGTTTTATACTTGGACAGTAGAAGAGAATCAAAGTAGAAAACTAGGAACCAAGGAGGTTGCCATGTAAGTTTCCGCTGATTTTGGTAAACGGATGTGTTACAGGCAAATTTTTTATGATTAAAGGTTTTTATGTTTCTCATCATAATATTTGTAGCTCAGGATTGAAATGAGAGATCCTTGGTGCTCTCTGAGCTTGATTGTTTTCTCTCGGACATTCATTACCCAAACTAGGTAACATAATCAGTACTCTGATTATGTTATCTTAGTTTGGATAATGAAACCTCTGCAAGAAAACTCAGAGAGCACCAAAGAGCATTCAGTGAGTTTGTAAATAAAGACACATAAGTTGTTTGAATGAACAAAGAAACAACTGAACTACCTCTTCAATGTCCTACTACTTCTGGAAGTGGAAATATGTGTGTGACGAGGTGTAATTAGACAACTACCTCATGCAAACTGAGCAGGTAGAAGAAATATCCTAAATGTTTTAGCCATCCTGTCTCAAATTTTATACTTAAGTTGTATAAAACATGGGCAAAGGTTTTCTTTTTTTCAGAACCAGATACAAGGGTATATTCATTTCCATGCACACATCTATTCAGCTGATATCATGGTTAAAACTTAAAGAGATATTTTCCTATGAATTAGAAATATTAGTTGTGCTGCTATTTACAGACACAATGCCTTTTAGAGAGCTTGGACTGAAGTAGGCTGATACTTATCACCTTATTAATGTTACTAGATTATATATTTGTAAATGAGATTAATGCAACTCTTTCTGATATCAACAGTCATAATTTCTATTAAACAATTGCTCTGGGAAACAAAAAAGCAAAAGTCAGTGGGACAACATACATTTGCTTACTAACTGCATTATATGGAAAACCAAAATTAATATACAGCTTTTAACATGTATAAAATTGTAGCATTAATATACGTTTTATATTTGTAGTGCTGACAACACACAACATTTAAATGTATAATGTTCAGTATTATATGTTTTGACACACAGAGTGAAACACGCATGTTTCATTAGCCGGAACCATAACAACTATTTTATTCTAGCCTCCATATGTAGGAAAAATCTTGCATGTGAAGAATTCTAAATTGCAATTGAAAAGACTAACCTGGTTCATACAAATGCTAAAACATGGCTTGGGACTGTGTGAATAATTCCAAACAACTCTAAACAAAGTATTGGGCTTATATGCTCTTTTGTGATTAGCAAACTTCAATTATTCCTTTCTAAAATTTCAAATTTAGCAGTATGCTCAAAATATAGATTTTTTTTCCAAATCTAATTTACAGAGTATTTCAGACTCTGGATCTATTGATTAGGTAATGTTTTAAATGAGAATTTCAGGTTTGAACCATATGTATCTTTTAATTAAAGAAGTAGGAAAGTATAAAAGCCTGATGTTTTCCTTGGCTCATTCTGACTCATCCAAGAATCCTAAAGCATGGTCGCCTATCATTTGTAAACAAGCACAAGAATTGTCCTGCACATAGTAACAAATATATAAAGCTTTTATTTTCAGAAGATAATATTTACCACTTTATGAGTGGTAAATATTTTCTCTTGTGAGTGGTATTTTGCCAGCTTATTTAATTATGTTAAGCATTCAGATACATGAACTTTTTTTTTTTTTTTACTCTTTTAGTAATCCTTATGGTAGCCATGAGAGGGACATCATTATTAATCCTAAACACTGCTTGTTCAGTTTGTTATCCTGTTCAACTTGCTTCTTTGATGGCTGAAAGGCTACTTTTAAATATGTTTGTCTGTTTATTCTAGGGTTTGGAAAAGGTTGGTAAAAATACATTCTAACAAATCACCCTGTGACTCTGAATCTCTCCTTATCAGCCAACAACACTTGAAAACCTTTTTCTATCAGCCAAAAACACTTGTGAGCCTTTTTTCAGTTTTTAGCCTGAGACCTCTGAAATACCCATGCGCATGGAGACATTGGAAATATTTATTATTTATTTGTTAAGTTTATTGGCCTCCCATCTTGCCATGGGGCTGCTCTGAACAGCTTACAACTGTTAAAGTACAAAAGAAAAATGCTTTAAAAAATGTGAGCGTAACAAAAGCAAAGCAATGAAACAATGAAAATCAACAATGAAAATACCAAAATATGAATTAAAAGATAGGCGGAGGGAATGGGGCGTATATACTATAAACATCCATTGCTCAGTTCTTACCCTCAGTATCCAACTATTTTTTATCCTAATTGAAGAAGGGTAAGGGTTAAGGTTAGGGAAGAAGGATAAGACTGTGGAAATAGTTATTTATTTAAGGCTACATATTTCCATGGCAAGCAAATGTATTGCATGATATATCCTTGATGCCCTACTTTGTGCAGTATCAGCTGTCACCAATCATTTATGTTGCCATCATTTTGACAGTCTACTGTAGTAACTAATTTAATAAAGAAATAATAAATGCATATCTTTTGCATGGAGCTAGCTCTGAAGTTTAATAGAAAACTGAAATTGGTGCAGAACGCAGCTATCGTCTACTGGTAGGCATAGGCATAGTACAGGTATAGTTAAGTAGCTCCTATATTGTGGGCACTGTCTGGACTTCCACTCAGTTTCTGATTTCCATTGAAAGTGTTGGCTTTATTCTTTACAACCCTACATGGCTTGACTCCTTCGTATCTATGTGTGCTTTCTCAATTCAGTATGCTGTTCCCAACTGGAGATGTCTCTGGTATACAGATGGGGGTCCAAGGCAATGTTTCTTGGTGCAGATGTTTAATTTGTGTGGAGAAGTCAAACTTGCACTGATCCCTGTACTTTGGTGTTAGTCCAGTGAAGACTAGACTATTCCACAGGGTATTTGAGGGCTGACATCCAGGTTTGAAGGGTGTCTATGTGACTACATGGCTTTATCATTTGGTTTTATTGATGTAATTTTTTTTACTATGTTTTGGTTTTGTATTTTATTAATTTGTTGTTGCTTCATTATAATAAACTACTGTGAAGCCCGAGATTCAATGGATTACAAATCTAATAAATCAATGGCACATGTGTCTTCTTGGTACTTCTTGGATACCAAGGCCATCAACTTAGACAGCGAGGACTTTAAAGTAAATAACACTTTGTACCAAATGAAGGCAAATATATATGTCCCAGGATAATGTTTCAGGATCCAATCACCACAGGATAACTGACCCAGGTTGGTTCCTGTGACATTTTGTACCATCTAAAAAATTGGATGTACCTTTGGATTTCACTCTACTTTCATTCCAGGGTAATTAAATGACCCCCCCCATTTATGAACCCTATAAATGTATATGCATATGATTCAAATCATTAACCATAATGCATAGTTTGCTCAGGGCCTCTGGCACACAAGCAAGCATATTCCACATTTAGCTTTCACCAGAACAGTTACTGCAAATGGATGTTTAGAAATCCACAAATGGAAGTTTAGAAATCCACAGGGCTGAGGATTTCAATGCTAGAATGGATTCTGAAGAGTCTCCATTGGGTACATTCAAGAGATGATAGGGCAGTATGGAAATATACTAGCCAAAATTAATTTTGTTGCATCTCCCTGAGCCTTGAAGTTAACTGCCACAATAGAGGTACTCTGAAAAATATGTCAGAGAAATTTCATGGCCTTTAGCAGGAAGGGAGTTACAGAATCCTTTTTTTAAAAAAAGCAGGCAAGAAATGGCTTATTATCTATTAATTTTCTTACAACATTGTTCATTTATGTTACAATTTTTATAGCTCACCCCAATCAAAAGACTTTAGACAAGTCACAACAGAGTAAAACATATATAAAAAGCTAAATCAATTAGGATAGACCAGCTCGCCCAGGACAGATGCCAATAATATTCAATTAGGATTGAAAGGTTGCTGAAATTATAAATATAATGCTAATGTGGTCTTTCTAGTCAACTCTAAGGCCATAATATAATTTTATTCTGTATCATATTGTACGATGCCAGAGGGCTTGGTGATTGCTCAAAAGGATATAAAAGGTGTAATTAGTTTTAAATGATAATGAAATAAGAACAAGTCACCCATAAAAAATACTTGAGTATTCAGATGCAAATTGTGGTTTTGTCATCAAGCCTTCTCAAGAATCTTTCTTTTCCTTGGTGGCATTCTATCTTCAACTTTATAACTCAAGCTTTTAATTTACCTTTGGCATTCTCATATCGATTTCCGGATTCAGTGCATAACTGGAAGGGATCTAATTAGTTTACAATGAAAATGTTAAGGTATATCACCCTTATGAGAAATGCTAGTATAAGACTGGAAGCGAATCTATGATCCGTTTAATGAAATGCTTGAAATGATAGTTCAGTTTTCATTTTTCTACTATTGCTCCTTATTATATTTATTTATTGCTTTCAAGATTTATCTTTTTCCATTTTTTAATCAGTGTGTGAATCTGGAATATGGGAAAAAAATACTGTACTTCTCTCCTGAGGTTTTGAGTAATTACAGCCTAAAGAAGGTTTTGCTCTCTTTTATGTAGAGATTAATAGAGCTAAATTTACAAAATAAGAAAGCTGCAGCTGGTAGGTCTTGTTCTTCTTTGCTCTAAATAATTTTTAAATTATGGAACAGATAAAGCTCTGTATTTGCACACATCAACTGTTTAAATACAGGAGGGTATTTTATGTTCACTTATTTTTAATGTGCTGCAATCTGAATTGTTAATTGATTAATTCAACAAGATTCTGTTTAATGGATGACTTTATCTTTGTGGAATTAGAACTGTAACCAAAGATCTTTTACATATTAAGGATTTTACCCAGAAGATACATTAAAAATGAGGATATCTTTCTGGATAAGACGTACAGTCCTCTTAGTGACACAGTTGCTAAATCCCTTTTATCATTAATATACTTTGTTTTGCCTCCTCTTTAATTTTAGTTGTGTGCAGATTGCATGTGTGTATGTGTGTGTGTGTGTGTGCACGCATTTATATTTGGCCTGTGGGTGTTTGGTTTTGTCACATTTTAAATTTTTTCCACTGGTATCTATTCTCTGACAACCTGTTGTTTTCTGCAACATTCCCATGAAATTAGGATATATTGGGAATTATTTAAACATTACTTTCTATTCGAAACAAATGTGAAATGGCAAAAATGATGAGAACGAATGTAACAACTGAATGTAAAGATACAGTATTCTTTGCATACCTGTGAAGTATAGAATTTTGAAATAGCCCACATCCCAGCAATTATTCTATCAGGTTTAGCTGAAAATATTTTCGGAGACTATGCCAAGATATTCAGAACATACACAAGGACTGCAATGTAAAACCTAAAGGATTTTTCCTCCCTAAATATCTTGCATGAGATCGTACAACTGTAGGGAATCTACCCATATTATTTAGTTGGTTTCTGAATCCAAAAGGTCTTTTGTTTAAGAATATCTTAAAAACTTCATTTTGCGTGCCACAATAAAAGCTGGAATCGAGCATCTTAGAATACACACCTTTTTTACAATTACGATGCCCTCTTGCGTGTCCTTGTCTGTAGTCATCCTGAACATTTCTGAGCCATCTCCATCAAGAATGCTATATTCCATCTCAGCATTGGGACCCACATCAGCATCATTAGCCTTTATCCGTCCAATCGGTGAATTAGGGGGTGCAGATTCTGGTATTTTGAATTGATAGGCACCTAAAGGTAAAGAGGTGGAAAGGTCCACCAGACAGTTAACATTATTTCAGCATTTTTCAACAACCTCTTTAAATTTTCTTGTTATATCTTTTAACTGCTTGTATACACATTGACAGATACTACTAGATTGCTGCTCCTTTAGAAATAGGGAAGACTTCCTACAAATCAGTGGCCTGGCTCACATGACATGCTTCAAAGAATTAGGCAGTGCTGGGGTTTAGGGTTATGTGAGTATTATAAGCTATTAACCCATATAATTAACTAGATGTTATTAGTCTTAACCTCAAATAGCTACTAATTTGCTTGTGGTTAAATAAATTCTCCACCATGCAAATAACTCACCATTATCATTTGTCTCTTCTTGGTGGCTCTTTAGACTGTCAAACTATCTTTCCTATATCTATTTAGAGGGGCTGGGGATCAAATCTGGCATCATCTGCATGCAAATCATGTGATCTAAGACAAAAGGGTCCTTCCCCTCACCAATATTTCTCTGCCAAACAAACTCCATGATTAGTTATGCAAACCAAAAAGTGCACAAGCATTAAAATGTGGGGTTTATATAAATAAATCTGGCTTAAGAATTCTTTAATTGCAGTAATATGATGCATGACGATTATCCAACTGGTGACTATAATACATGGTACTTTACTTTGAGCAATTTGCCATAATGGCAGTTGCAGACTGAAGAGAGAACTCTTGCTTTTGAATCCTGCCACTTGACAGCACTACTAGTGGCAGGGAGATGGTACTACATCTACTAATTTAGCATGAATCAGTGACACAAAAGAACAAATCTGAATCTGGCTCAATTTATTCTTTCAGTCTGAAGAGGTTTTGTTCTTTATACTTAAAGGGAACTATTTTTAACTCTTTTTTTTTTTTTTTTTTGCAAACTTGCCACACAGACAAGAACTCAGAAGCTATTCAGTCACTGAACCTGTTAGGATAGAGAAATGTGCACAGTCCAACTTGGGCAAGTGCTTTATCTATAGGTATTATCTTTTCTTTAAAGTCAATTTCATCCTTGCCAAACTGTTCTCTTTTCTTTGATTCCATTTTAGTACAACATAAGAAGTCATTTTTTTTACCCAAACAAGAAAATAAACTAAAGACATTTATAGATATGAAATAAAAGTATGCAATATATTCAAATAATCAAAAGTTGAGTGCAACGTTTGCAGTACTGCACTGCAAATGACCCACAGATACTTTGCTGGGGACTATTTTGTTATTGTGCCTCTGTATTGTTGTCTTACAGATTCTGCAAAGCCTGAGGCATCATTGGAGCATCTCACATTATAAAGAACTCATGTCAAAAGGAGTTTCCTGTTCCCTGTACCCACAGGCTGATATTTGTCCTATATTATGAATATTTCTTCAGCAGGAAAAAAAGGAAAATAAATTTATTTCTCGTATTTTTCTCTCCTGAATTCTTTTTCCTTGTAGAAAAAAGTACTTGACAATGTCTACTTGGGCAGTAGTGCTTTACAATGCATGGAGAATTCCTTGCCTCTGGAAAGCAAATATGTCAGGCAAAAGGATTCTAATCCAGCCTTCTCCCAAATGGGTAAGTGACCTATTAGTGGTAGATCTGTGTGAAATTTCCACAGCATTTCGCAAAAATAAGAGACCAGGATGAAACAAACAAACAAAAAGTATCTTATGCAGGTGACTTAATAGTGAAAAAGTGAGACAAAAATAAATGATGTAGACATAGGTTAACAATTGGACTAATTTTCCCTATTATATTTGAATTGGTTCCTATGTGATTTCTTTTGATCCTTTAAAGTAGTACATTATAGCACCAGAATAGCTGAAAAGAAAACTCTTATGAGTAATTGCCAGTAGTTAAGAACAGTTTGTTGATGTGAACTAATCAGTACTTTGAATAACAAGAAAAATAGAAAGTTTTTTTTTTAAGAAAAAAGAGAAATAAACTGAAAAATAGAGGAAAAAAGTAGGGAATGGCTTTTCCACCACGCAAAGAGAGAATAAAATTCTATATTAGGATAACTAGTTACTTAACATTTTAACAATATGTTGGCAACTATAAGGACTAAATCTCCTTTTTAATGAAATATATGAATTCAAAGAAGATAAATAAATTAGAAATTAGAGCTTTGGCTGTTTTTTTTGTTGTTGTTGTTGTTGTTGCTTGCAGAGACCTGTGGCCTAATGCTGACAGTAAATTGTAAAAAAACCAATCCTTTCTCTTCAGTTATGTCCATCGACCTGTACATAAAGTTCCCATCATTTGATTGCCAAAATGTTCTATGGATGTAACTATATAAGGAAAAAAAAGTATCTTTCCCATACTCTGGGGGAAGCGGGGTGGATTGTCATTGACATCAGTCAATGTGATGTTCACCGTGGTGGTTCCTGATAATCCACCCATCTGGCCTCCCATATCCTTGGCTTGGATGACTACTTGATATTGCTCCCGGTTTTCTCGATCCATGTTCAGCAAAGCTGTCTTGATGATCCCTAGGAATGAAAAAAAAGAGGTTTTTTAAATAGGTTATTCTAAGTAATACTTAAGTAGTCAGAATGTAGTGCATCTAAGATGAGATAGCGATAGAGATATAGACAGACAGACAGACAAACAGACAGAAATTAGATATGGATTAGCTAGAGATGGAGATGGAAACGGCGACAAAAATAACACAATGCCTCTCCTTCATACCTCCCAGTATGAGCCAGTTGTGAATTGCTGGAGCAGCAACTATGTTTAATCTTATGTTGACTTGGTACTGTGTACCAAGTATGTCCTATTCTTAAATGATTTCAGTAATTTCTAAACTTAATGCTTTGATGCCCATTCTGCTTAATAGGGTAATTCACGTAGTTCAAAATGAAAAAAAACATATTCTAATATGGATTTTAGCAGGTTGCTCTCTCTCTCTCTCTCTCTCTCTCTCTCTCTCTCTCTCTCTCTCTCTCTCTCTCTCTCTCTCTCTCTCTCTCTCTCTCTCTCTCTCTCATTTCTTCTATATGAGCCAGTGTGCTGCAGTATTGGTCTAGACCAGTGTTTCTCAACCTTGACAATTTTAAGGCATGTGGACTTCAACTCCCAGAATTCCACAGCCAGCAATGCTGGCTGTGGAATTCTGGGAGTTGAAGTCCACATGCCTTAAAATTGTCAAGGTTGAGAAACACTGGTCTAGAACCAGGCACACCCAGTCTGAAATCCTTCTTAAATGATGGAAAAGCACCAGGTGACTTTCAATCAGTCACTGTCACAATCTAGCTCACAAGGTTGTGTTAGGGGAAAATTGGAGGAGGGAATACCACATAGCCACTTTCAATTTATGAGGAAAAGTTTGTTATCAAAGCTGAAGTAGGCCACAAACTAAATAGGAGGAGAAATTTTGGCAAGTCTAGTTTCATTTTTTAAAATACTTTTGATTAGCAAGATCTTTTTCCTGCATATAATTCCTTTTTTTCCCCCCACATTCAAAGTCAAAAGACTGTGCTAAGCACAACTTAATGGAAGCACCTACATACCCAATGTTTGCTAAATGGATTTGCATCCAGGCTAAGTTCTGCTTATTAGGTTAAAATATTCTGATTAAAAAAAATGTATCATGCTTACAGATGTATTGCTCTATTGGAACTCTCAAAGCCTGCATCGAGTCAAATGGATTTCTTTGAAGAGTTTGCCTAATGACATCCTAGCTTGACTTAACAAGTCATTTTAAATTACGGAGGTTATCAGAGTATGACAGATTAAAGGCCTCTGACCTGACTCAGACTCAACAGAAAAATATGGCTGCCCCTGGAGAATACTGTAGACAACTCGAGCGCTGTTCCCATACGTGGGGTCATCGGCATCCGTTGCAGTGACTTGCATGACAAATGTCCCTGTGACAATGAAATAGAGTTATAAACTGGTGTATCAAAAGATGCCATTTCAACTACTGTCAGTTGTAGAGCTAACAGAATTTGTGTTTAAGAATAGATTTTATGAAGACAAGTCAGATACCGCAAATTTTGAAGGTCTGCCCTTGGAGCACTGGCTCGACTCATTTGATGAAAATTAACTGTAAATATAATCATGCCCAATCCCACTTTGAAAGATGGAGCTGTTCCAATGTTTTACAAATGGCTCAAAGGAATCGAACTGCACATGATGTCATTGTGTCATTCATTTTGCAGCTCATTGATATTTATTTTACAAATAGCAGTTATCAAGCTGAAAAGGAGATTTAACTGGTACGAGAGAGGGTTTTTTATGTTCTGTAATGGGATCAGTTAATGCTTGTGCCTGCTTTTTAAAATAAAAGGAAATCCTTATTCTCCTGTTAGAAACAATGAAAGAAGGGCGATTTTGACAAGCCACAGGAGGAGAAAGGAAATTTCTGCTTATCAGGGTTCTTTCTCTCACCCAGTCTCCTCCTCATTGGCTATTCTTGGGGGAAAAAAAATCAAAAGATCAAACAATTTAAAGAACAGGCAAGTGAATGGCCGAATTCAGACCCACAAAAATGTATTTTTTCAGATATGAGAAAATTGCTTCTGGGGTAATAGCAAAAAGAGTGTGCTGGAAAATATAGAGTACCGACAAGCCCAGAGAACAAGATCCCAAGTAACTGATAGCACTTTGGCTAATTTGAAAAGCAAAACAGAGTCAGAGGATTGGTTGAGGGACGCCAAGGAAATCCAGATCTGTAGGCAAGATTTGAAGATCAAAACACAATGCTAGAAAAGGCTGGTGGCAAGGCATTTTTTTGGGCTTGATACCAAGAAACCTGCATAGCTGAATCTATATAAGTCAGCACAAGCCTGCCTTGATTTGAAGCTGATTTGAAGCTGATTTTATAAATACGCCAACATTTATTTATTTATTTATAAAGTATACACATAGATACACCAATACATATTCTTTCTAAATGCAGTGTCCTATAGAAGTGGGCAGTCTTTTCTGACCTGGCAACTGGATTTGTTCTTCCTGTCTGTAAACCATAAAGTGCATACTGTGATGGATGGTTAAAAATGAATGAAAAAATGTATTTACTTATTCCATTTATATTCCATCTGTCTCACTATCCAGGATAGTGTCTTGGAAACATAACACCTATCTGGGTTTCATTAAAGCAACCTGACATTTTTCTAAACACCTTTATGAGTCTGGGAAAAAAATAATTAAACCTTCTTGAAGCAGTTCAAATTAATGCAACTTGTATCCAATCCAAAAATGACTTTTGAATATTTTTTAAACCATATGCTGTCCCAGTTCATGCAATGTGCAATCAAAAATTGAATATACAAACTTGGTTCCCCATTTTCTTACTGTCAAACAAGAGGAGATGGCCTCAGTTAATGTTAGTCCCTCTGCTTTTAGATCATGGAATACTCTTACACCCAGGAGATGCAATGTTTCAGGTTGGTAACAAATAAGGTAAATCTAGAACATCCTTTGAGTTGAGCTTATCAAATATACTTGGGGATAAGCTCAGAATTTTAGGAAGCAAAATGCAACTAAAAAATCAGGTTCAGCACATTCACGACTTATCTGTGAGTACAACAGTAGTATTTCCAAGGTATGCTCATGTAAAACCATCTTTGGATTTACAGACCCTCAGATTTTTAACTAAATTACCATGAAAAATGTGAGTCATCACTAGATGGAACATTTTTCATGTTGCCTGAGTTAATTTTTTTTTTGTCTTTCTTGCTGTATATTTACAATTGATTAAAAAAAGTCATGAATATGTATGAAATAATTGAATAAGTAACACTGACAAATAAGGAGGGAAAGAAAAGTTGTTCCCTATTCTTTATTTGGTTTTATTTAACCAAAATTGGGTGGATGGATAGAGAAGAAGAAATGATATTTGTGGGGCTAACTAGTTCTTCAAATGTCAAAATACTGATTGGGTTGAATATTGAGAAGATTAAAGAGGGGGAAAAAACCCTTACAAATATATATTTGTTTTTAACTGTAGTCCTCTGTACTTTCAAAGCCAGGGGTCCCCAACCCCCTCTCCGTGGACTGGCACAGGTCCGTGGCATGCCAGAAATTGGTCCGCACAAACAAGCAAAGCTCCATTTGCAGGATGCAGGCAGCATGCAAAACCATGTCCTCTCCAGTCTGCAGAAAAACTCTCCACAGAATCAGTACCTGGTGCCCCAAAGACTGGATTCCTAACCACTCTTGCCCTTATCTGTCTCGATTTTACCTTCTCATAGCAGCTCTTCCCCAATCCTCCAAATATGATTGTGAAAGAATCTTTTAAGTCCACAAGAATATTGAAATAGTAAGCCAAACAGAAACTTGATGGAAAGGAGAAAACCAGGACAATGCGATCTAATGTGACCAACTTTCTGGACATATCCATGTGATTTTTGTGGGAATGGTTTGCCACTGCCTCTTTCTAGGTATAGCTTTTTAACATCCCAGCGTAGCTTACAGCCGTGCAATTTCCTTGTGGTCTTTCATCTAACTATTAAACAAGCTCCACGCCTGCTTAGTTTTCTAAGATCATTCAAAGTCAGCAAAGTGTTGCCTACCTGTTGGACTGACAGAATGGGAATGCAACAATACAATAACTGTATAAACTTAGATGACATATGAAAATCAATTCATTAATTTAATCAGAAAGTAATGTGCCCTGCTGAATTCTCCTTATTTTGGTCAAATAGACATTTTCAGTTTATCTTCATTCAAGGCAAAATTTTCAAACATATGTGTATATATTTGATGCCACTGAATTTTGATTTCAGTGGAAATACTGAAAAAACCAAAGGGAAAAGATACTAATAGTATTTCAGTCAACAAAAATGAAAAGGAGTGTTTCCCCTCTCACCGACACAGACAAAGTTGTGCAGGCCAGTTCTAATTCAAATGGGACCTTCAATAAAATCTCAGTTCCAAATACCAAATCTTTGTTATTGCTCAGAAAGCTGTGCCAAGTGGACTTCTACCAGCACTTAGAAATTACTGTAATCTTTACAGAAGGGCATACATAAAAACAGTTGCTGAATATAAGGCAGTAAATGCATGTTTATTATAATTTAATCAAATCTGAAAGTTAACTGTTAGAAGATCTGGTTATACAGAATATACTTTTTATGTAGTAAGGGCGATTTTCAATTGTCCTCCTCCTTTAGTTTTATGACCATGTGCTGCTGCATAATATCATCTTATTAAGCATCTGTTTTATCAAATGGATCCTACAATGATACCAGATGCTTATCTGCTTCTACAAATCACTTTTCTCTGTCATCTTTCCTCCAACACAAAGGACTTAATGCAGATCTTCTGTCTTTATTTCTCTTCCCCTTCCCCCAGTACTGTAGAACAGAAAAATGCACAGCTGGACATGTTAAGTACTCATTGCTTTGATCTTAGTAATCCCAACTGTAGAACTGCTATTTGACTAGCTAATGAAAACTAATCCCAGCATGCTTGGGTGATCTGACACCTACCTACATCAGACATTTCTGGGACGCTGGCATTGTAAATGTCATTTGTAAACAGGGGCTCATTATCATTGATATCGTGGATCTTAATGATAAACTCTGATTCTGGTTCCACCGGCCTCCCAGTCTTTTTGTTGATAGCCTGAGCACGAAGAATGTAAACAGGTTTTTCTTCTCTATCAAGTCTTCTCGTGGCCTGAATATCGCCAGTGTTTTCATTGATGATGAAGAGGTCCCCTGCTCCATCTCCGGAAAGGATGTACTTGAGTGAACCATCTCCTTTATCCTGGTCAGAGTGAAGCTGTAAGAGAAACAAGAATTTTAAACAAAAGCGTATCTGGAAAATTCTTCCTAAACTTCGCCTCTGTCGACCAAGATTGATGGTCATGCAGTATTTTTGGCTAGAGTAAGTCAGGGAGATTATTTATCTCAATCCTCTCTAGAATATTTCTATATGAGCTATTTCCAGCCATTCAAGTCTTATTAACACAATTATTATTTTTTAAAAAGGAAGGGGATTATTGTAAGTCAGTTTAGGCCAGGGGTGTCAAACTACTGGCCCGTGGGCCTGATGCATCATAGCGAAACCATGTCCATCCCATTGCCGTCAATGGCAAAAAAAGTCGCAATACGTCATGACACGTCATGTGATGTTGCAAGTTTGACACTCCTGGTTTAGATACTGTGAAAAGTTTGGACTACGACAGCCCTTGCTAACGTTTAATTTTACCAGCATCCATTCAAATGGGCAGCTCTGCACTTGGGATGCCAAGAAGTTTAATTTCTTTCACTATCCAAGAATGTGGACCACAAAATCCGACTTTTCATTTCATATATAGGTTTGCCAAAGTGCCAATAACATCAATAGGTGATGAAAATGATTATGACTATAATAAGATGTTTCTGGAGAAAATCAATCTATGTGGTCACTATGAGTTGACATCGATTTGATGGCTCATAATCAATCAATCACCATCATAATATATTCATGAATATAATAATGCATGGGACCAAAGCAGCCATTAAAGGTGTGTGTGTGTGTGTGTGTGTGTGTGTGTATGTGTGTGTGTGCTTTCGAGTCAGTATTGACTCTGGCAGCTGCTGAACAGGTTTTTGTCATTTTCTTGGCAAAATTGCAGAAGTAGTTTGGCTTGCTTCCTAGGGTTGAGAGAGAGGGCCTCATCCAAGGTTACCTACTGGTAGCTGGATAAGTGCCTAAAGTGCGATTAGAATTCACAGTGTCCCAGTTTTCTTGATGTCTTCACCACTATACCAAATCAGTTCAAGATTTAACCTAAAAATTAACCTAGAAATTTGTTTGTTAGGATCTTGAGGAAAATCCTCTTTCGAAGCTGGTATTGGCACTGTCATACAAGTAAAGTTCCCTATTATTGGCATTTTCTTTGGAATCCCAAATTGGGATGATTTATTTCCAGTGTAACTACCTATTTCAGATTACATCTTTTCTTCAGACTTTCTTCAGGAAAGAAACATTTCAATTGCCTCTTTTTGCTAGTTGTAATTGTGCTCTCCTAAGTTGGTGCTATTTGTATTAAGAGGCAAAAAAAAAAAAAACCTCCTAAAAATCTAACATGCTAAATACAAGATACACTAATTATATCCATTTATCTCTGATTTTAAATCTTGTGCGCTTAGTTCAATGAATTTATTCCTAGAGCAAACACATAGTCCTGAATGCTAGTAGCAACAGATATTTTAATCATTTTATATACAAATTTAAATTACCTTATGAAGTAATTATACTATAGAGACAAAAATAAGAAAATTATTCCATACCTCATTTAGAATGGTAACAAGAAATTACAGGGGATATTTATTTTGTCTGATATATAATATTAAGGATGCCTGATTAAACCAACACTTTGGCCCTGCTTTTGCCATACTTTATTCTACAAAATGAAGAACTGCTCAAGAAAATAGCAACAACAAACATACGGTATTCTGCACGGAAGAAGAAAAGATGAACTGGCAATTATTCTGTATTATAATTTACAATTTATTCTTTATGTTAATAAGACAAATGCCTGAGATACAGTAATCAACACAGATAGGTAGCCTATTTAATTTATGTTGGAATAAATAACACAAAAGATGGATTTTTAAAAAGAGTATTTATGTCTTGAACCGATGAATTCCAGACTGAGTTATGATACAAAATATAGGAGGCCATTTTACAACTGGTAGCTCTATCTCTGCTGAAAATTGTGGAAAATAATAATGACAATGCATTTATTGTCTGTGTCAAATTTATATAAAAGGAAATGTATTCATACTGAATAGACAGTTTTGAGTTATGTATATTCATCTTCAAAGTACGGTAGCTTACGTACTTGCATCAGACATTGGGAATAAGGATGGGATATGCATCATGACATCACCAAGTATATATTTACACTTTTGGATCACTGTAGCTTGCTGTGGATGCTGCTGTCATAATTATTAAATTACTCTATTTATAGCATTATTGTAATTACGTCCATAATATGCTGTTTTACATGTAAAAATCTGTGGAGTCAATTAAAATCTACACACCATTCTGATGAATTATGTATTTTACATTGTGCAGAGCTCATTTGGCAGAGCTGTAAAACCATCATTTTCATTGCAATCTTCCAGAATAATTGTTATACATTTCCTTGCAATTAAAATCTAAAGCATAAAGAGAGATCTTTCACTTAAAGCAAGGAGACCAAAGTTAAAATTCTAGCCAGCTGTGAAATAAATCTGTTCATAAGGACTCTCTCTCTCTCTCTTTCTGATTTTTATGAAATAAAATGGTATCTGTCTGCTGTATTCATAGTCTAAGGAAAATAACCAGCTTTAAATATAAGAAATATATATGATAAATCTAAACACAACAATATGGATTAATGTATCAAGCATAGCTTAAATTAAATGTGCCCTTTCCCACAATCACACGTCACCTGGAAAAAGAAGTTTTGAGTCCAGAAAAAGTTGCAGTTGTTTTAAGTGCTCTTGACAGATACTATGAGTATGTCCATGAATCAGTACCATTAAATCTGGTACTCCGCAAAACTCTAGTAAACATAACAATGTAGTATTTAAGTCATATGTCAGCCTTCCCCCTCCATCCCTGCATCCTTTGCTTATTGGATGATGCAAATTATTATCCGGTGTTTCTTGAGGGCATCGGGTGAAGGAAAAATTGATATGTATGTTCAGTTTGAACCCAAAGCAAGTTTATTCATTTAATCAATTTATGTATCAACTGATATACAGTTTACTGATTTTATATCAATTTTGATCACCACCAGCAACTTTAAACAATATACAATCATGTAAAGCAGAAGTCCCCAACTTGGTTCTGTGGAGAAAGGTTTCTCCGCGGACCGGAGGGTGCTTGGTTTTGTGTGCTGCTTGCATCCCGCGGTTGGGGCTTTGCTTGTTTGTATGGATTGATTGCTGGCATGCTGCAGTCCAGTACCGGTCCATGGACCAGGGGTTGGGGACCCCTGATGTAAAGAATACAAGTTATTATGACAACTGGGAAGAAGAATTAAAGAATAACCATGTGAGGGAAACAATACTATTGCACAACCAACACACATCCCAAGCAAATTCCAGGACTGTTGAAAGAGCTAGGACTTTAAAGTTTTCCTCATGGTCAGCAGTGTCAAGGTTGGGTGAACTTTTGGGGGTTTGATACTGCTCAAGAGAGAAGCCCCAGAGAAGGGTAACATGATGAAACTAGGAGCAGTTCTTTCCGAATAGGTAGAGACCACTGGAGAAAGGCAAATCTAAAAGTCTGAGAATCCCTAAAGCATGAAGTCCCCAAGGTGTTTTTTCAAAAGGCAACAGGACTTCGTTTTCCTTGAAGACATTTTACTTCTCATCCAAGAAGTTTCTTCAGATCTGACTGAAGATGGGGGATGGAAGGAGTTCTATTCCTTGCACTCATCTGCACTTTATGAGAGTCATTGAGGCCAGTTTGGAGGTTTATGTGTGCCCTCAGGGTCACCTGCATAGTGCAACTGGGTGTGGAACCTTCTTGGAACTGCTGAAAGGAAAAACAAAGTCCAATTGCCTTTTGAAAAAGCACCTTTGGGATAACCTTGACCTGAATGACTGAGAATCTCCATAGCAATAGCACTTAGACTTATATACCACTTCATAGTGCTTTACAGCCCTCTCTAAGCAGTTTACAGAGTCAGCATATTGCCCCTCCCCAACAATCTGGGTCCTCATTTACTAGCCTCAGAAGGATGGAAGGCTGATTCAACTTTGAGCTGGTGGGATTCGAACTGGCGAACTGCTGCAGCTGGCAGTTAGCAGAAGTAGCCTGCAGTACTGTGCCACCATGGCTAGACCTGAACTATGAAAGAATACTAGGAGATCCTTGATTTTTCAGTTTTATATTACCAAGTGAATAATATAGAAGAGAGTACCAGAAGAAAAATGCCACTTGCAAAGATATTGCAGTTGTTTCAGACTCTTCTCCCTGCACTTGTCCTTGTTCTAGTCCTCTGCTTCACAGAGACTATTAGTTGTTATTGCTGTTTATGCAGAGACTTTGGCTCTTTTCATTATGGGATGGGATGCTGCTTTACTTATGTGATGCATTAGCATACAAGCATAAAGCATTTTTAACAACAAAAAAGCAGTACTCTCAACAAAATTACTCAGCTTTTATTCCCCATGATGGTTTAGACAATTTTAAAATTAAGCCAGTATCAATTCAAAGTCAGTACTGGATGCTTAAAAAAAATAAACATAGTCTGTTTTGGTCATTTAATACACAACAGACATTTGTAGTGGCAACTACTTCTCAGATATTTCCAATAAAATCTTTTATTGTGCAATCATCTTGCCTCAGGCATTAATTTTTAGAAGGAGAATGTTGATGTCCAGAACAACTCTCTTCCACTTATGTGTTTTCCCACTGCTTTCTCCATCTTTTTTCTAAATCCAGGAAATTTACAAAGGAGAAAATAAAATATCTGCATAAAAACTGTTGACTGGTCATATCAGGAATGTTTTATTTCAATAACCCATGGGAAAAAAGGCAATAAGATCTAATATTGAGATCTCATGTTGGGCACAGCCAGATGGTCAGGTGAAACTGCTTGGCTCCAGTTCATAAACATATATCAGTAAATGTGTTTTCCTCCTTCTTTTTAATGCAAGACAAGTTGAGGAAAGTGATTTACCGGCTATTCTGCTCTTGTTTTTCCTCCCATCGTACATAATATACTAGGGTACAGACAACTATCAACCCCTCTCCTTAATATGTGTAGGAGTGTGAAGGTGAATATAGATGAA